GTTTCCTCCACTAAAGTGAACAATGGTGATAGATGTCTGCCTCTAAACAGTAATACATGATAGCATGTATAGTGTCTGATGCATAGAAGGGCTTATGCTGAAGTCCCATCTATTTGTCAATTTATAGCTGGGGGAGCCTTATAAGATTGAGGCATGTATAACAAAGAAAGCAAGAACTGTTGATTTTTTAGAGAATTCCATTTATGACATCATCCTCTTTTCTGATTACTTCGGAGTCAAAAAAATCTTATTTAAGCTATAAATAAAATGAGACTGGTGTGCTTCACAGAGCTGCCCAAATGACATAAAATTCCAGCAATTTGTGTTGGTATGTTTTTAACAGTGTTCGTTACCACCCAACCCTCAGGAACTCCAGAAATAGAAATATCAGGGACCACGTCTGCGGGAAAATGTGTTATTTTAATCTTAAGTATATTTGAGAAAATATTTGGAAGTAAGAGGACCCTGACAATTGAGAACTTTTAGACATAAGCCACAATTGCCAGAGGATGATAGATGGAGGGCTTCTTTCCCGAGGGTAGTACCTCTTAGGAATACACTGAAGGAACATTAACTTCCAGAATGGAAGGGAATTGTAAATATGGAAAAGAAATAAAAAGAGGGTAAATTAATATCATCTCTTGGGAGAAAAAGTACAGAATATAACTTTGGTGGTGTCACTAGATGGAAGGCAAATGTGGAAGTTAGGATAATATCAAGACAATAACACAATCTTTCAAAAGCAACAATATAAGTAAATGTCAAGCTATTAGTTCATAATTTCTTACTTAGCATGAGGGGGTTAAATACAAGTTGGTAATATTTTCCTTATTTGTTTAGTGGTAGAGAGAGCTGACTTTGCTAGGTCCATGGCTTGAGATTGACTCAAAGGAAGCCTAAAATCAGCAACAGCTAATTGTGTCCTTGAAAAAATTAATCATTCTTATCTGACCCTTCAAAATCATAGCTAGGCTAAAGAAGACTTCACAGTGTAATGGATTTACTCTCAGAATGTTTGCATATTTTAACTCATAATATTCTATTTTTGATTTTGCAAAGCAGTAGATATACTGGCACAAATTAAAATGTATTTCTTGGCTCTTCAGTATGTAGTACAATATAAACGGCCTTCTCTGCATATCAGAGAGTGCCACACTGTCTGATATTATCTTTCGAACAGCTTCAACTGGCAATAGTTCAAAATCATCACATTGTCACTGAATTACAAGTAACCCCACTGAGTAAATTTCTCCAAGAGTGCCTGCCTTTTCAGTTTATTTTTGTACAGCCATTTTGAATGGGCAAGGAGAGTAACATCTACCTCGTATCAGTTCATGCTTTCTCTACACCTGGCATTGCTGTAGTGACAGCTCTTTGTGCAGAAACAAGGACATTTTTATGTTGATGCTGTTTTTATTTGCAGATTCAACTCCTATGTGAGCATGATAATTATCCCTGTTTTAAAATCAACCATTATTTTTTAGGTCACTCTTTATTTCACGTGAAATGTAAAATTTATCTTTAAATCCACCTAAATTAGAGAAGGGCTCACGGCTCCATGGAAGAACATAGAGAGCAAGCTAGGCAAAATGGCAGGAAGGACGGTGCAAAAGAAGAGTACTCATCTTAATTCTGCTGTTCTGGGCCCTGCTGCTAATGAATGGAAAGAATGCTGAGCTTGCCAGTTCCAGTGTGTATCTTTTGGCAAACGCCTTTGCCATTGTGAAGCTCAAGCTTCCTTATCTAGAAAATGGAGATGATATCCCATTATCTCTAAAATGGGGATACTGTCTAACCTATTTCTCAGGGGTGTTAAGTGGATAAAATAAGCTGATTCAGGAGAGAGGACTAGGAAAATTGTAAAGTACTGTCCACACATAAGATGTCATGATGGTAACTTTTTGTAAGTAGAAAGACTAAGCAGTAGATTTTGTGCAAATAGCTTTAATGTGACTGCTGTTCCCTTCTTTGGAAATCTCTCTTCAAATTGCTGTCTGACTTCATTTATGTTTATACTTTTTGAGGCTCTTTGATTTAGAGCTGGCAGGACTCATTGTAAATATATAGCTCTAGGCACACAGCACCCTGGAGGCCAATGTCAAGGCTCATTGTATAAAGCCCTTGCCTTCAGGGCAAGGGGCACTAAGTCTCACTAATTGCTTACCCACTAATGACAAGATGAACAGGCCACAGCCAAAACTCACTAGCTCCTATATAAAATTGTTCTTCTTCAATCAACTTTAAAATATGTCATGAAATCTTTTTAAACTAATCAAAATCAACATCTTTTTTGTTTTACCTTCTCTTTTAAAAGCAACTTATGATGTTTTCTCAAGACCTGCAACACCAGATGAGCATGAAATAGCAGAGCCCCACACAGGTATACCAAGCCTCTTAATTCTTTCTTTGGATGCCAGGTGTTCTGACAATAATGCGCCTAGTTCTCCCTTTAGCTGCTGCAGAGCAAAAAAGAAGAGAAAGGACAGGAGAGAAATGATAGTCTGTCAGGGAGATGAATTCTACCCACTCCTCCCATTGAGTGATTATTTCCTTATATCCGTCAGTGAACAAGCTGTGCCACATGTGGAAGATGCAGATGGATTTGGTTGCCACTGAGGCAAAGTAAAGTGATGGCCTATCATTCTGTTCAGAATCATTCTAAAAAGATTTTAGATCCTTAGAGTTTCTCTAAAGCAGCTTCTCTATAACAAGGGGTGCTTTTGCTTTCTTCTTCCCCCAGAGGCACTTGGCAATGGCCAGAGACATTTTTGGTTGTCACAACTGGGGAAGGTAAAGGTACTATGACATCTAGTGGGTAGAGAGGCCAGGGATGATGCTAAACCCCTACAGCGGACAGGACAGACCCTCCACAATCAAGAATTACCCAGCCCTAAATGGCGATTGTGCTGAGGTGCCAAACCGTGCTTTAGAGCAATCATGTCGTTCACTTGTCCAGAGAAGTTCAGTTGGGCCTAATCTTTGGCATTCACTTACCCATCTACAGTGAGTTTAACTCAGTCCAATAGTTGCTATTATAGCAAGTGTTTATTAAGCACTTAAATTAAAGTAGGTCCTTTAGGATCAAAGTGAGTAAGATAGTGGTCTCTGATGGACATAGATTTGTGTCTGATATGTTTCGTATGTGTAGCCTCATCTCAGCATTATTTGTGCCATGATATATAAAGGCAAATACTTTTAAACAGCAGCAGAAAATGTTACAAAACTGAAATTGAATGCCAATGGTGGATTCCACTAGCAGATGAGAAACAAAGTGGAGAACCCAGAAAAAACAGTTGAAAGCAATTTAAATATATGAAACACTGTTTGATCATGGCTTCTAATGTTGAAAGTGTGCATGTTTTCAAAAGTGAGCTCATCTTCAACTCCTAATGAATCATTAGTTTAAAAACGGTCAGCAACCACTCAAGTGCTCTTGGTTCTTTTCTCCTTATGAGGCATAATTTATTACTCATGAATTTGTATTTTATTCCTGGGCTTTCTACTGTTTTTATAAATGTTGACATTTATTCCAACAGCAACAAGTGATCCATTTCTGGATTCTGTCCCACCTAAAACTTCTAGAGCTCTCGAACAGCCAAGGGCAACACTGGGTAATGTTTTTAACAGAAAAATCATACTTTGTTTTCCATCAAAAGAAAATCCATGTGAATGCCTTTCTTCCAAATGACCATTTCATCCCATCACATCTAATCATTTATTTCTTACCTATTTCTGAATAGATCCTACAATGCAAGCACCTTAAGTTCCATTTTGGACTCTTTTTTTTTTTTTTGAACAATAATAAATGTTTTTTCTATCCTTAAAGGAATGAAAAGCTTTGAAAACTGCATGGACATCTTCATCATCTTTATCATTCCATCTCATGTGTTTGTTGTCTGTATCACCTCTTTCCCATGCACTGGGTCTGCCTGGAGTCACCTACTGATCAATTACCATTCTGAACTTTTCCCCACTTTAAATCACCATTTCATCCACCAGCTTTCGAGACTACATGCATTTTTCATGCTTAATCATGTACTTGAAGCATGTGCTTTGTAACACCATCTAAAAGCATGTAAAACTCTTAAAATACCTCATTTTAACTGAAATTCCTTGGTGGGATGGGGTGTTTGTATTTTCAGCTCCAAGTGAAACACCGTCTGTTCCTCAAAAACTGGAAACCTTTGCCAGTCTTGAAATGCAACCTACAACACCTGGTAATTAGTGACATTTGTATACTCATGTACTTTGAAAGAACAGATAAAGTGGCAAAAAAGAATCCTTTCTGTTGGCCTTTGCAGAATATTTTCAGTAGTAAACATTTTCCTCAGTTCTCTACCATGAGATTCTTCATAGAACTAGGTTAACTTCCATACTTAGCCTTGTATTAATCCTCAAAGAATTTCCATAATCTTGTGTCATTAGATTGTGAATAATTATTTCCTTCCTATACACCTTTCAAATTTGCCAACCAGAAAAAAGCAGAATTATAGATGATAAATCACTTAAAATATATCCCCTCTATTTATCACATTTTGATACCACTTCGTTAACAGTATTTTTCTCAAAGTAGTCTAAGTATAAAGAACACCAAGTAGGCTCTTGCAATCCAGGGCATGATGAAGAAAGATGAAAGAGTGATAACACCGCCTACATTCTATAACAGGAAATTATGGGAATAGAGAAGTTCATTAACTCCTGTTGAGGTTAGTAATGAGCAACAGAATTAAAGAAATTCCAAACTTCCCATTCTCTAAATCCCAATTATTTGTGCTTCTCCTCTGCTGTCCGATCAGTTGTCTTTTGAGTTCTTAATTGTACCATATATTCTTAAATCCCTCCAGGGTGCCTACTTTTCAGGACGTTTAACTGAACAATAGACCTTCAGTTTTCATATAGACATTTAATTCCTTTTGGCTGATCAACAATTATTTTTTTGGCCTCTACTATGTATAAAACACAGCACTGGGCACTCTAAGGAAATAAGAAATAAAAAGCAGTTCTTATACTCAAGAAGTTCACAGGTTTATAGTTTACGACCTGAATGACCCCTTAGAAATATCATTTATCAAAGCTATATTAAATGTTCTTTCAGCTCTCCTGAAAACTACATCTATCCCTTCTACTCCTAAGCGACGCCTCAGGCCCAAAGCACCAAGAACTAAACCTGGTAAATAACTGTCTCTTTAACCTTTCATGATATTTAGTTTCAAATAGATAATGCCCATCTCCTTATCATAAAAAGAAGTGAGTGATAAGATTCTATAGGTTAACGTTTCTTTACCAAATTTGAAATTAACTGAAGATGAATAATTAATGTAAAATAACAAAAAACATTTTGAATAAACTTTTATTGAAAATTATGTCAGTGATATTCTTGCATGTGAATTTTGGTATAAACCTAGAAGCGGGTCCTCTTATCACAGTATTGAGAATGAGATCTATAGAGTAATCCATTTTTATTGGTGTACATCCAAATTTTAAGTTTATTAGGCTGACCATTCTTGGTTTTGGTGCCTATTATGTTTTCAATTTTTTACTAAGACAATAACTAAGAGGGAGAGCATGTGACTTCCGCTTTCCAATTGATTATACAGTTAACCCTGAACAACAGGGGTTAGGGGCACCAACCCCCATGCAGTTGAAAATCTGCATACAACTGTGGACTCCCTTCAAACTTACCTGCTAAGAGCTTACTGTTGACCAGAAGCCTTACTAAAAACATAAACAGTCTGTTAATACGTATTTCATATGCTATATCTATTAAATACTCTATTCTTACAATAGAGAAAAAATGTTTCTTCAAATTGTCACAGATTTCCAAAAAATTTTCCAATATATTTATTGAAAAAAAATCGATGTATAAGTGGACCTGTACAGTTCAAACCCATGTGTCCAAGGGTCAGCTGTGACATTAAAAAGATAATACATTATAAGTAATGAGATAACATAAGATTATATAATCTGCTTGTGAGACTATAATTCTTGTGGAGAAGCTCAGAAAAAGTAAGAGCTAAGGATGTAGATCTCAAAATAAGTGTTAGGATTAGACAGAGTGGCACAGAGCAGCGTTTGGGTGGTGGAGGTGGCTTATCAACCTGGAGATGATGGTCTTCAGTGTCAGATAATACACTCAGAATCATGCTGAACAAACTCTTTTGCTTATTCCATTGCAGTATTAACACAATTTTTAAAATATAGCTTATACTATTATGACTGAGTTAAGAAATTCTTTTCCAAAACTTTTGCTCACTATAACGTGTTGTAAACACAGACTACCAAATATGGCAGGATTTTAAAAGGGTCATTTGATTAATCTTTGGCAGATATCTGTTCATTACCTTAGAGTATCTTAATTTTTTTCCTTTCCATCACCAGAAGGAACCACAAGTCCTGGAACAATTACATCTAAAATTTCTATAATCTCTGAACCTACATGGACAACACTGGGTAATGATACGTCTTTAATAGATTAGTTTCTTTCTTTCACCATAGAAAATCCAGTGCCCCAGTTTTTGTGTAATGTCTCAATCAGTATTCTAATTGGATCATTTTGATAACCCTGAATATCTGTCTCATAGAATACATCCCCTCCGTGGCTCTCATGGTTCAGATAGCTGGCCTTAAAGTGACTGGATCTGAACTCAGCATGCAGACATCATGCTGTGCCTTGGAAAGCTCTTAAACCACTGCTACTTTCTTTTCTTCTATCCAAACATTGTATTTGAAGTTGTGTCTTATACACAGTTATCCTTTATTTTTATTTATTTATTTTTCTGAATAAGACTTCTCAAGTTCAATTTCAGACTTCATTTGGAAAAATGACTTTCTGTTGTGTTAGTAGAATTTCATAATGCTGCAGATCATAACATTATACTTTTCAGTGAATATTCATTTTTAACATGTCTCTCTTCTCGTGGTTATAGACTTAGATGTGGCTGAGAAATGTGAAATAAGGTGCAAAAAGATTATGTTGGGTTTATTTTTAAATAATGGATTAAAATTAATGTCTTTGTGTAGTTATTGGCACTACGTAGAGTCAATGCTTTTTCTCTTAGGTCAAATATACTCTTGAAATGTGTTTCCAAACCAGAAGAAAATTTATCACTGTATTCCTATTAAATGCTGTTCTATGAAATACTCTTTTAATGGAATATTTGCAAAGTCTTCTGAGGTGATGGATTTATTTCATTTAAACTATACATTTCCTTTGTGGTTTTAGACAGTGAAATGCCTAAATAGTGATTCATTCATTATTTTGTTTCTATATTTTTCCAGCTCCCAGTAAAACACCGTTTATTTCTTTGAAACCTAAAATCCCTTTCAGCCCAGAAATGACACACACCAAGCCTGGTAATTACCCTGAACTTTTTAATATTCCAAAAATAGGGTTGAAATTTTGTTTTGTGCCACTCTTTGGAGCAAGAGCTTCTGATGTGTATTTTGGTATTTTGGTATTTAACACATTTTTCTATGAAAAGTACAACAGTGTGATGAAATGATCTCATTATAACCAGTTCCTCTGATATTCTGAGTTGTGGGGGGGCAGGGGTGGCTATGTTCATGACCATCAGAGACAAAATACAGAAACATAGGGATGTGAATGATTGAGGACTGCCTTGTCTAGGACTATAACATAATTTCCAATACTGAAGTTGACTGGAATTCTGATCACCCGGAACAATCGTCTTTTAGCTGGAAAGGGGAGAAGTGTATCCATCCCTTAAGAACTATGCCTTGTTTGGGGGTTCTCAGTTCTCGGACTGCAGGATTAGAAAGGGTTGTATTTTCCTAACGCTCTATGATTTCTTTTGAAATCCGGGCTGATTTCTGAACACCGACCTCTGTTTACTTCTCAGGAATTATTAATGTTGTTATGCTCAAGAAAAGAAGGCTCTTTTGCAGGGAGGGATTATTCTGTATATATAATTAAAAACAGAGACAATTTGTTGCATAAGGACTTCAGGGTATATTGAGTGAATAAATCATTTTTTCTATCCAAAATCCATACAGCAATTTAAATGTTGATTTATAAGATTGAATGAAGAACTTTGTCACTACTCATCATTTTCATGTAAATTTTAAACTCTTAGCTCTGAGAAGAATATATTTCTCCCTATAATGGTCAATGGATTTTTCATTAATGCATGTTTACGAAGTAGGATTATTAAAACAAGAGGTATTCTGCTTAAGTGAGCATAACTTTTTTTTTCAATGGAATGGGTAAGGAAGGAAAATGTAACTGCTCAGAAAAAATTTCTCATGGCTCCCTTCAAAGAAGCAGTGAGATTTCCAGGTAGAGGTGTCAGACTGAAGGAAATGAGAGATTAGGTAAAGGGAGTATAGTGGGAGCTGTGGCCATGGGTGAGGTCTCCAAGTCAGAGAAATTGAATGAAGTACGTACTCTTACTCAGAGGGATTATTTGGAAAAAGAAACATAGCTAATAAAACTCAAGAGGTGCATTTATTTAAAAATCATTCTTAGAGGACTCTGGAATATGGTAGTAATTATATTTATGCTGTCTTTTGAATAGAGGGCTATAGTGAAGCAGATAGAGAAATATTCCTGTATGTTTGGGTCACCAAATTTAAATTAATATTTCTCCAATCTAATTATTTCTGTTACTGCAAGATAAAATGTAAAAGTATCAATATATGTCTCTAAATGTTTGGTTATGGTTTATACATGATAAGATACATTAATAATTTCAGTGGTTTCTAAAAAGGTTACTGAGAGGAAATTCATTCGTTAATACAAATAAGGAAGGGTAGGACAGTGTGCTCTTATCATAAGCTATTTGAGCAAAGAGATACTCCTAACTTGACATTTCCTTTTAAAAGGTGGAAAATTATTTGGTATCTAATGAGTTTATATTCCTTTAATTTCTACCCTCTAACTTCCGTGTTTTTTTCCCCTAACAGCAAGTATAGCCACTTCAGAATCTCCTAAACTTATGCCGACTCAAGTTGACCTTGAGTGGTCTGAGGGAACACAGTAACAATGGGATCGGTGCAAACCATTGCTCGGGTTTAGCTTTTTAAAATTCATTTATTTTTATTGTAGAGCACGCCACCATTAGAGCTCTGCCGAAGGTTTCTGTTTCTAGCCAAGGTTCAAGAGAGCAAATAAAGCACTGGGAGCTTTTTTGGTTTGAGTGACTCATTGCCTTTCCTAGCCTTCTCCTCACACTCTCCTGTTTTGCCAGTTCCCTTTCCATGCAGATTGCTTTTCCTTTGGTTTTCCTTTGTGGTTAAACTAACCAGTAAAAACCCACATTGGTTTTGGTTTGTTTTGTAAGCAAAATCCAGGGTTTTCTTGAAATCCTAGCCACCTACAATATCCCAACTTGTCTGCTTCATCCAATAAGAATTGTTTCCTTCAAATCAGTCTTTAAGCTTATGATGACATTCAGCTCTTCAAGCTTGTAGCAGACTGGAAACAGGAAAGAGTCCTCCAACTACAAGCGTTTGTTTTACATATTCTCTGACGTGGTGGATGGAGCTGATCTCATTGCTAGCCACAAATCCACGAACAAGTTGTATTTGTTTTGTGCTGCGGTGAGTGGCATAGAAACTTGCATGACCCTCAGCTTTTTTATGGAACATGTTTATACCTTTATCTATAACACCGTAAGATTGTCAGAGAGAGAAAGTCTTGTCAGAAGATGTATTTTCTTTTAACAAACACTGACTTTAATATTTCTATGCAGGTGAATTGGATGCTTAACTGATGGGGCTCCATATCTACTTGGTCTCAGTCTCAGAAGCCCCAAAATGCAGATTTTTCTTTATAAAATTCAAAAGACAGCATTCTTTAACCTTTGTAAAGCTAGAAATACTACGAGTAGCAAATCTTACTTTTGCATATTTTTTAGGTCAACTTTGTAGAAATTAAAATTGAACTACAATCTTGAAGTTTCAAAAGAATTTTTTGTTTGCTATTTTCAGATGTAGATGCTTTTTTGATATTTATTATATTAAATGTATTGATACTATTTGCTTTCCCTCTCTCCTGTAGTATCAGAAGCATCCAGGCTCCTCCCCCCACTCTGCCCCTTCTTTAATGCCCGAGCACGCCCACACTCGCAATTTTTACTTTGCTGTGTGTACTTCAATATGATACACCACTATAGCTTTGCCATTCATCTGTTATCATCTGTTTCTGGAGTTCTTGAGAAACCAGAGTTCTTTTTTTGGTCATAGACATACTAATGAATAATACCACATCTCAGGAACACCTTGTGCTATTATGCATTGCTTTCAAAATAAATGAAAATTTTCTATCTGCATTATTTATTATTTTTTCTTAGTTGCTAAAGAGTCACTACTTGCTTCCCCCAAACTTTCCACACCCCCTAGTCCAGAAGTGTCACACATAACCCGGGGAAATATAATATAAAAAATGTACAAGTGGCAAAAGGATTTAAGTTCTGTCAAGCTGTTCAGTGGGTGCCATGTTAATTAACTTACCTTGTAAGATAAAAAGTCGGGGATTCTTCACTTTTACTTGTCTCAAAAATTGAGACTCATTTTCTTGTTGGAAGAATTATTTTGTTGTGTAGAAACCTATTAGATAACATTTCTTTTAAAAGCCTATTAGACTATAGGCTTTTAAAAAAATATTGGTATTGTAACTAAACAATATTCAGCATGAAGAATCATTTACTTACTGCCCATTTGAATGACATTGGAGGGTTTGCTCTCTATCAGAATATTTAAATAATATTGTTATTTAATTTATTCAGTGTTCCATGAAATCTTAGACTGCTTTTTGACTTCTATTGATTTACTAACCAAAATTGTCTAAATTTCATATGTAAACCAGTTTCTTGACCAGCAAGAGATGCTAGTAAATATGGGGAACACCATATGAACATTTGTGGCCCTTTTTAGACCACAAGTTCAATTCCTAATTTTTGTGAAAAAAAATACCAGACCCATCCAGGCTGAAAATCATCCAAAACTAACAGAGTTCAGACATGGTCACAGGCTTGATGGGTCTGTTACCTCTTCCCACTTCCTTGGATGAACCTGTTGTCCTGACCGAAAACACAATGTCAAGGGACAGGGTACTCCCAGCACCCTCGGAGAGGCAACTCTCACCTGCTTTTAAGCTAGTATCTTCTCAGGCACTAGGAGCAGTCTTCAGAATATAGGATAGTGGGGAAAATAGATAAAAGTCAGCAGTGCAAGTTAGAATTCTCAATTCTTATTTTCATTGTGGTTTACGGAGAGGATGCGGGGTGAACAAGCTTCACTGTCATAAGCCACCAGAACTTGACTGATTACTGATGAGAGAATATTTTTTATGGTAAAGGACATTTAATTCCCAGCTTCGGTGGTGCTTTTCAACATTGCCTTTGGTAGTACTTGCTTTTGTGACAGCAGTGGAACCTCAGACCCTACCTACCACCATCACAGTCCACAATAAGGAATAAAGTTCTGTTCAGTGAGTGAAAAAGAATCATCTGTCTTCAACACTCTCTGTGTTCAGCTTCATCCTTAGCTTTGTCTTTTTACAAAATTAATTTCGTAATTGTCCTTCAGATCTTTCTTTCAGCCATTTTTGCCGGAAGACACACCCTCTGCCTGTATCTGACTAAACAGAAGCCCTGAGACGGCGGGAAAGGCATGCTGATTTTGATTTGACACGTTCTTTATTGTCCCTCCTTCTATCTGAGGCATGTGTCCGGAGCCTGTTTTAACCAGACTGTTTCCAGAAGAGGACCGTGGCTTCCCTAGACATATTTGTGCTTTCACTTTTGGAAAGTTTTTCTTACTTTCAAAACTCTAACAGTTGCAGATTTCTTGAAAAACATTATGGTCTTTCCAGATCGAAATATCCTAATGGGTCAACTAGGCAATTCATTAAAAGAGAGAAACAGAAAAATGAACTCCAATCTTTATAGCTTCTTTTTCTTCAAGAGAGCAAAAAATGTGTTCTGCTGGTGCCATCTTAGCCAATGACCCATATTTTCCCTCATAACATCAACTGTTGCTTACTTTATTGCATCCACATCTTCCAGATGAGAATCGTGCCTTTTTTTTCCATTTCTCTTTCCAGACTTCCCTGACTGACCACATTTTTGTTGATTTTGTTTAAAAACACAGGAATGCATTGAAGTAAAAAAGGAATTTGTGTGGAAAAAAGTTTCATCATTTATATTTGCTCAACTTAGTAATGAAAAATTAAGCATTTTTCATATATAAATAGATTTCATCATTTTTCCTTTGATTTTGATTCCTTCCTGATGATTTTTCATGCACTCTTAGGACCTGGAACAATAGGAACCAAACCTTCAACATAAAATACCTAATGTTTAAGCAGCTATTAAGTGAGTGCTGGATTGTTCCCTGCTTTCCTGACGACCGGATCTTTATTAACAGGCTCACATTAACCCAGTCATGTCTCTTTGTGTGTGTTCTCTGTTCTTCTAGAGAAAAATTTCAAATCCTATGGTTTTATAAACTATGTCTCATTTTTGAAAAGTTGCCTTCCCTGAAATAATTTCTGAATTTGAAGCTTTTTTTTAACATGTTGTTGATTTGCAGATTTTTAAGTGCTGAGTGAGAAACTTCCTTGCGAACCTTATGACAAATAAATGTTCATTGTTAATGCTAACGGCTTCTCAAAAGTAATTTTTTTCATGTTCCTGTTGAACAAGCCCCTTCAAAAATTTTAGAACAGTGTCTTCTGTAACTTGTACAAACTTCTGAGTTTTCCATCTGAAAATGGAAAAATAGGAAGATATCTTGAACAGTGATGATTTATATATTTTTGATGAAAAAATCATTCAAGACTTCATTTAACTGGGTAAATAAAGATAGAAAGTTGCAAAACAGAAGGGCACATATGCACAGTAAATGCAAGGGCTTTAATGTGTTTCTAAGATACATGTAGTACTGATTGTCACTTTGTAGAGGTACCACTCCTGTACTAACTGGCTAATTTTCCTTCTTCAGCAACACCAAAGACCAAACGACCAGGTCGTCGCCCCCGCCCTAAAGCCACACGTAGGCCAGATGTGCCCAAGTCCAAACCTGGTAAATGTATTGTTCAGGGTTCCAGCTAACAGAGAAAGTAGAATATAGGAACTTTTGATACAGTAGCTACCTACAACCTAAAATAGCTAGGCTTTAGGAACCAGGATAGTTGATTTTTATATTTAATATAAAATATTTATATTTACATATAAACATTTAATATATTTTGTATGTTAATATAAATATATGTTAATTTACATATTTATATTATCTATAGTTGTTGGAAATAGCAAGTTTTACATCTGATAGTCTGACAGCTTCCATTTTATTAAAACATTTTTAGGCTTTGTTTTCTGAATCTGGGTTTGTAATGAATAGAAGCCTGATTTAATCTATCTGGAATATTTAAAAAGTGGTTTCAGCATCCACCACTAGGCAGCACTTGAGAGGCTGACCTTGTGTTCTTCCTTTATAGGAACATGTTAAATAAGTATTCATATTTTTATTGTAGTTACCAGTAGTAAGATGGCCCACTGAGTGGATTAGTAAAGTAGGGCACTCTAAAAGCCTTACACAGGATGCATATTTGTGGCAGATAAGATGTGGGAAAGCAATAGGGAGAAGAAGGGTAAATGGAAAAAATAAGAGGAAAAATCACTTTCAGAAAATGTACACAGTTTAAGTAAAGATATAAGTGAAGATTGAGGAGTAACAATTCCTTCCTCAATATACCACTTCTTGATATAACTAGTGTTTTTGGTTTTTGCTTCTATAGCTGTAGAACCTGCTACAATGCAGCCGGAGCTCTTGGTGCCCACAGTCGGTAATCCTGTCCCCTGATTGTCACTTCTTTTGCTACTCCACACCCAGGCATGACCGCAGCCCACCACTGTCACAATTCCACTCCACGCTTCCTCTCATGCTTCCTATCTGGGTCTGAAGAGCCTGAAGATAGGAGGCTGCTACAAGAATCCTTTGTGCTTATCCAGGGAAAGTCTGTGGTCTTGGACACAACTTCTCGATTCTTCTCTGTCCTTCCATCACATGTGCTGATCTTTCTCAGGGACTTCTATACTCATCCTGGACTGGAGAAATGGCAACATTTTATTCCAGTGCCATGATTATCACTTTATTTACTTAATCATTCAACTTGTAAGCCTTTTCCCTTTAAAAAGCTGCATGAAATAATGGCTTCTTCAACTTTTCTGTTTCTCTAAAGAATGTTTATGTATATGTTTTGATAACAGAGGCACAAACACTGCTTTAGTTTAGGGTCCAGTACAAAAATAGTATGATCTTTGTAACATGAGAACATTAAAAGGCCTAAACTGGTTTTATTGTTTTTAGTCCTGATGCTGTTTGATTATAATTATTTAATTATTCTTTCTCAGCATTCACAATAAATCTGTCATTGCATCACTTTAGAAAATTCCAGAAATCAGTGGCCATATAACATGATGTATAATTTAACATGTTTATGGATTATCAAGCAATTTCTACCTTGATATTTTTATGCTGAAAAAACTATCAGTTAAGAAATACAACTAATATACTTGTCATTTATGAATTTACCTCTATTAAAAAAGAGGTCTTATTATAGGTCCTATTACTTTTGCTGAAAAACATATTTTGAGCCTTTCCTGAAGATTATGCCTTTTGAAAAAATCAGTAGTAATAGACACATTTTCCCTGCCCATCCTTCCTATGCCCCAGGAATTAGTTCTGTTGTATATTCGCTGAATTTATATAGATTCTTTGCTCAAGCATGTGTGTCCTTATGTATGATAGTCACAGGCATGACCATTCTGCTAATTTTAATACCTTTTTCTTTAGCGTCAAAACCATCCAAGAGACCTAAAACCACACGTAGACCAGCTGTACCTCAAATCCAGCCTGGTAATCACTACTTCAGTGCCTTGATCTATAACTAGGAAAACGGTGTGTAAGTAGCATTAATCTTGACATTCACAACTCTGCTATAACACTAATTTTAGCACCTTTTTCTCTTCAGATTCAATACCACCAAAGCAATTACTTCCTAAACCCAAAAGCACAGCAAAACCAGATATGCCACCAACTACATCCGGTAAACACAATTTCCAGTGTTTTAGTCTAAGAAGCTTTTTCTTTGGGAATGTTGTTGAAAGTATTACAGTTTCTTACATAAAGTATAGAAACCTAAATACCATGGCCTTGTTCATTGCCTTCTCAAAGTAGCCACGCTGATGTTTTATGTGTTGAATGAACAAATCAGTGTGTGGGAATTTTACATCTGATCATCTGACAGATTCCATTTACTTATAGCATTTTTAGGCTTTGTTTACCGAATTTAGACTTGTAACGAATAGAAGCCTGATTTTTCTGTATCTGGAACATTTTGGAGCAGCCACCACTAGGTGGCACTTGGGAGGCCAGCCTTGTGTTCTTTCTTTTTAGAAGCATAATCAAATTTTGGCTTTCTCTAAAATACTTTACTGGCATTTTAAACAGTAACTATTAACTAAGTGATTTCCTACCAAATAAGATATTTTATATAATGGTTCTGAAAAATTCACCTGTTTTGCAATTGAAATTTTCTCGTAAGTTTCCAATTAGTATAAAATTCTAATTTACTAAGAGAGCATCTCTAGTAATAAATCAGCCTATCAAAAAGGCCATTTATATCAACTTAAAATAAACTAAGTTTAGTACCCTGTGAATTAAGCATCAATGAGTACCTAAAAGTTTTGACTTCCTTACTGTAATTACTTATATCTGTTTATTTTTTATGATGCAGTCTTTGAGCCTATTACATTTGGGACTGAAACTCCCTCCCTAACCATAGGTAATATCTTCCCTCTTGGTCAATATTTCTCTGAGCTTGCCCCAACTGTTCTCTCTCATTATTTGTTCTCTTGGGTAAACAACTGCCATTTAGCACCTTTTACATTCATTTCCAAAAATTGTTCACTGTTTTCAACAGGGACCTTTTTAACATTGTGAGGCATTCTTACATCTGCTGCTCAGCTTATAACCCCTGAATGTTGTTTTTTCTTTGATTGCCTTCAGAGCTGGTCAGATGCTTATAGCACTTGATGCTGTCAGGAATCACAGGTCCTCTGTCCATCCATCCTTCAAACCAGAAGATATATGAGATCTCTGTTTTTATGTGTGTATAATTTGTGGATGTAGGAGGAGAGTGATGAAAAAGCTGGTGGGACCTTGAGACAATATGTAATTTGTCTCATTTTCAAAAAAAGTCCTTCCTTCCTAGATTCCATACAGTTCAAATGCAACTGGACCTTTCTGTTGACAAATTCATCTTGTGATTCTGACATTCCAAACAAAATAGGGAGTCTCCTTTTTTTGTTGTTTGAAGGCAGTCAGCTTTGAATAATGTTTCCAGTCTGTCATCCTTGCTTTCTCCATCTCTTCTGTCTGCCATGTTTTCCAGTTCAGAATGTTCTCAGACACGGCTTAGGCCACCTCTACACTGTGATGTCTTCGACAGACAGTGAAAGGCAATCTTCATAGAAATGCATAAGGGATTTTTGGTGATAGGATGTTTTAATGTTACATTTAATCTTCTGGATTTAATGAAAAATAGAAACAGTAATTTAAAACCAAGGAGTTATAAATCTTAATTACTTTCCTCTTCATAATATAATGATTTCAGATTATAGAAATATAGGAATTACAGAACTATCCAGACAAAAAGTTGAGTTATTATTTTCAGACTTTGTTCTTAACATCTCTGTTCCTCACTTGAATAATTATCTCCTAATTATTTATTTGAAGTGAATAAAAAGAGAGAAATACTCAAAGTATCACATTTACTGTGAAGAAAAGACACAAGTTTAACCTTTGCATGTCACAGATCTCCAAAAAACAGACTGATTTAGAAAATTTTTAAAACTTCTCACTACCACCACCACTCCTCAAAACAAATATGTATAGTGATGGTGAAAGCCTTTCAACTACTAATAGAAGTTTTCATAATAATTTTTCAGAGTAACTAAACATACATATCCTACAACTAAGATTTTTTTGAAGCCAAGTTTTGCATATAGTCGGAATGAGATAATTACACACACACAGACTTTTCATTGTCCTCATAGAGATGCAAAATACAAAGGGTATGGCTATTTTGAGATAAATGAATACTAGCATTTAGCCAGTTATTGGAGAGCAAATGTTATTTTTCCCAGAGTTCAGAAATGTTTTTTAAACATTACAGGATTAAGAAGATTTATTTTCAGGTAATTTCCTCCCTTTTCCTACGTTTCTTACATCTCCAATGTTTATTGTATTGCTTTTGGTCAGTTTTGGCCACAGACGAACCTGTAACTCCAAGAACTGAGGCTCCCTGGACAACATTAGGTAATGACCTTTCAAGTCTTTTTAGCAAGTGTGTTTTCCACTCCTTGTCTAGTCTATTCCTTTACTGTCTTGGTTAAAGGGTTTTCTCTTTCATAAGATTTTCTCATCATCCTCTCTTATAACTCAAGTATATTCTTCATTTTGAATGTATTGAAGATGTTTAAAACAAGTTCCTTGATTAGACCATGAGCCTGCATGCAGTAAGTGCAGAGCATCTATCTTCCATATTATCCAGCTCTATTAATGCCTATGATTTTTCCTTATTTTATTAATGGCTATTTATGGAGGCTGTGATTCTGTTTAGGATTCTGTAGTAAAGCTGTTTTAAATACAATCAGAAGCATCTGCCCCATAAATGTCAATTACAGTGTGGGCATCAGCAGGAAGTTGTTTTAAGATATGCAGAACATATTAATTGTCTATCAGTGATTTTAAGAAATGAAATGTACTTATTCTAATAATGTTTAATGGGAGATATGCCTAAGGCCAAGTAATTTCTAAGACAATCTCCCAAGAGCAGGTGGTCCTGGGTCCCTCTCTAATGTGATTGAAGATGCTGTGCTTCTGAATTCTCTGGAGTCAGGATTCTCTTTGAAAATCTGACACCAGCCACAATAATCAAGTTTTCAGACTATTAAAATAGTGTTATCTATTTTTTCTCAAAAGAACTATCAATAGATACCCCCAAAATTTTTATGCTAATAGACAGCAAAGAAAATCCCAAACTAAGACACAAATTTCTCAACTCAAGAAAAACTAGCACAATTTTTGAAAACCTAGAGCCATGTATAATCTTTTCTTGAGTTTCTAGAGTCATAAGATGACATTAACCAGTTTCCTTTCTTCAGCTCCAAAATCACCACAACGAACAAGACCACGCCGTCCACGTCCCAAACATAAAACCACGCCGAGCCCAGAGGCCCCTCAGACCAAAATAGGTAAATACCACAGGTCCTGGTGCCTGTGGACCCTGTCAGAGGTGGTACTGCGGTGGCAGTTTAACTGGTCACCTCATAACCTCTGTGACCCTAAAAGGTGAAATTCCAGTCACAAGTGCTCCAGTCGATACCCATGACTTCCTCACACTGCTTGGTATCTCCTTGTACCTCTGTATTTGATTTGCTTCTCCGACTACTCGGTTACGTTTTTCTCTTTGATTCTGGGTCAGCAAAATTTACCTAGTTAAGTATCTAATTAGCATATTTAGTTCAATCAGTCACACATTAAGTGCCCACATCTTACTAAGTGGCACATTAGCATCCTTAAGTTATAGTTTAGAAATAACAAATGACTTAGTTGGAAAAGGAAGCTATGCCTGTATGAAACTGTTTACAAATAGATAAAAAAGAATACAGGCAAAAGCAACATATTTATTTATTGAGTTTTACCACTTGTTAGGCACATAGTTGATTCTTAAAGACATGAAAGATCCACAGGCTGATAAGTGTAACGTGGACCTTGATATTGGTACAGTTTGTAGGTGTGTTGGAAGGATGGGCAGGAATAGCATCAACAGGAGGAAAGGGCTGTATGTGTGGGTAACAACGGAGGTATAAGAATTAGAAGTGAGGCTTGATTATGAAAAAAGAGGAAGACAACGTTCACTCAGCTGGCACTCAAAAATTTTGGTCAGTGATGCTACTTATAGAATGGCCCGTGAAGAGCACCTGACTTCAATGACTGGGTTTGAGCCAACTGGCCACAGTGTACTCTACCCTCCCAGAGGCAGGCATCTTCTCTCCTGATAACTGAGAGATGCCCTCAAGTCATTCACAGTGAATGACACTCTGTATCTCGTTTATCTATGCCTTTGTTTGAAAAGAGGTCTTGTTCTTTTTCCAAAGTGGACTCTGAACAAAAAAGAGTATTGTCTATTTTGGGTATTCATTATAGTATCTGCTCAAATATATCACTTACTGCATTTCTCATGACACAGGGCTTTATTGTCTAATATATATAGTGTTATAAATTATATTTTACATTCTTTTCTCATATTTATTGTTATTAGATGCCTTACATAATAATTAGATGCCTAAAGATTTTTCCAAATAGGGTTTTCTATTTTATTATCAGATAATATAAAAACAAGCAAAACATAGCTAGCCATGTGGAGATATTAAGGATTTACCCATATAGTTTCATACCTTCACCTCAGAAATTTAAGAGTTTTCCTTTTTGGCTACAGAACCAATGCTCCACTGGTAAAATTCATTTCTAAGAAAGTTTGGTGACTGTTCTCATAAAAACATTTTTTTAATTGCGTTTGATCATTTCTTGCTGCAGACTTTACACCTGTTACTCCTGGAACATCTCTAGGTAATGATGCTTCTTGTCATTCAGCAAGTGCTTTTTCTTATTCATTGTCACTTACCTGTGGTGCCATGTGGATGATGTAATTTGTTGTCATCCTATTACAGTATTCATTTTACCATATAAAAGGCTTTCTTTCTAACAAATGCATATGGATTTAATTCAAGGCAGCTCTCAGCTTGAAATTGCACCATGTCAGTCAATCTCTATCTAAACATTACTGTTTGTTAGAGCTGAGGTCCAAATATCATTCTCCATATATCTCTTATTTAGACTGCCAATACAGTATCAGTTATGATACAGTTAAGCTCCTTTCAGATCTTACTTTCTATATTTCAAGTTCTACACTACCTTTTTTTTCTAGTTTGTTGGTGTTTCAGTGAAATTACCAAGTGGAAGATATGCTCAAGCCTAATCAATTTAAAATATAAGTGAATACTATGGGTGGTTTGAACTTCTCTCAAACCATCATAGTTTAGCAGTGATTTGTAACCAGTTTTGGATTAAGGATATTTCAAGAATAATAGTTCTTCATCTTTAATTTTAAACATAATTGTTCATATAGTTTTTAATCTCTGAAGAACTCTGAATTATAAAAGAAAGCCTATTAATATTACCTCACAAAAATTCAAACCAATGTAACAAAGTTCCCTCCACTCAGAGGAACTCTGGACAAATTCTAGAAAGCCTGGAGCCATGTCATATCCTCCTATTCAGAGTTTGTGGAGCCATCAATACTATATTAATCCTAAATATTTCTTTCTTTAGCTCCAAAAAAACCAACAAAGAGACCCCGTCGTCCACGTCCCAAACCTAAAACCACACCCCATCCAGAAGTACCTCAGATCAAACTGGGTAAATATGTGCTTTCTAATTTAAGGAATCCAAGCAGTATTTTCCAGTTGGGACCCTAAATACTACGTACACAATCAGTTCCCATCCCACATACCTCTTAAGAGTAAAAGCTTCTAGTTAGTGAGGAGAACATGAGGTATCTGAGTACCTTGTGCCTTCTGCATGGGACCCTGCTCCATCAGGGCTTACTTCTTACTATTTGATTCCATTCACGTCTTAAAGTAAAGATTTTTACTATGTGCATTTTTACTATGAGCCAACATAACCAGTTCAAGTCAGCTACTTTCATTAATCCCTTCTAAATCCCCATAAATGTATTAGCAGCTGTGAGATACACAGAAAATATAAGTAGCTTTCATTTACCACTCAGTTTGTGCTATAGCTATAAACAAAAGCTGATCTGTCATAAAAGATAGAAAATAACATAAGGCAGTATGTTTATACAAATGTCTATGTGTGTATGTATAATTTCTCAAGTGGTATGAATGTTATATGTTAGGAGTCTGGTAAATATTTGGAGCAGGTAAAGATCCAGGATAATTAGGAAGAAATCAGGATAAGTAAAGGGATGAAGGAACAAAGGCTAGCAAGCAGGGAGTGTGTTAAAGTTGGCATCCCAGAAAGAGGGTGAGTTGTGGATGTTTCCTGTTGAATGGACCCATAGGATGAATTACAGGGGACCTGGGATGTCTACTGCAGAGCTTAATTTGATCCAGTAGCCTTCAGTAATCCTTCTGCACAGGACCATACTTTTTCTGTTCTTAGAACTGAAGATGCCTAGTGTAATATAATACCACACACTGAGAGGTTATTACTTACTTTATTATATTAAATGTCATTAAGGTCTGTTTCCACTACTTAGTCTCTTAGTGAACAGTCTCAGTTTCCTTTTGGCTATCTGTTGTATGTGATGTGGACAGAACTTAGGGTGACCCTCTATTCCCCACCCCCATAGCTCCTGCCTCTTGGTGCTAAGACTTTGTATAAACCATTTTTTTCCCTCCCTGCACTCCCTGTGCATTAGAAGCCTTAGAAGCATGTATTTGTACTGGTAAGATTAATTTTCTGATATTTCATGCATTCACAAAATCTCCTTGGTTTCTTTTATTACTTTTGATCAGTTCCTGCCACAATCTTTGAACCAGTTACTCTTAGAACCGAGGCTCCAGGAACAACACTAGGTAATGACACATTGTGTCTGTCAGCATCTGCTTTCCCTGCTCATTTCCATCACCATCATAACCCAGCTTCTCCTGCTTCACAAGACTTGTATGTCATTCTCTACTGTCATTTATTTGCCTCTTAATGTATTGAAGAGTATTGAAACAACTCATTTTTTTTAAGAGAGGTGAGTAAACTTAGTATACATATCTGCAATGTAATGCATTTGAATTTGTGGCATCTCACATCCATGTAACCCTCTAATTATATTCATATGTCTGAGTTTCAAACATAATCAATGGTGGTTGGGGATGGGAGTGTCTATCCTTGATCTAAGCTGAGTACATTGGCACAGCTATTATCGTGTGACATAGTTCTTGTGCAGATCTAAATTCCTACATTTTTACTATGTGCATGATTTTGTTTTTGTTTTGCCATTTTAGGTAATGATGTCTTTTTTCACTAAGGAGTGAAATAGAAAATACACCCAGGGCTAGTAAATTTAAATAATAATCATCATCATGGCAAGATTTGGCCTATGAGTCATGGTTTGTCAATGATAAGCATAACATCACTCTATATCTTCCCCCCCACCCAACCACCACGATAACTCAATAAGGTTTTGGAGCTTTTTTCATTCAGAAATCCCTGTGAGGATCTCCTTGATATAGCAACTCGTATGTTTGTGTGGTTTTTGCTTTTCAGAGTAATATAAATGATATAAAGATGCAGTTATCAAAATAGGAGCAAATACTTCAAACTGAAAAGAAAAATTTCCTGAAACTCAAGAAATTATAGCAAGGATAATTCTACCCAGAGCTTCTAGAATTAAAAACTCTATTAACCTGAAGTTTTCTTCCTTTAGCTCCCAAAGTGCCTCAACGACCTCGTCGTCCACGTCCCAAACCTAAAACCACACCACGCCCTGAAGCACCTCAAACAGAACTGGGTAAATGTGTAACTCTTGGTCAAGGAAGTCTGGCAGCCCATCTAAAGGGATCTAGAGAAAGTGATGGGCAAGGCGGGGTCAGCAGCTGCTTCCACTGCAGAGAAGGCAGTGACACCACTGTTGGAGAGGAGTCTTAGCTGGTGGCCAAATTCCCTGTCCTTTGTGAACCAGAATCTTCTCTCTAAAGGTCTAGTTAATTGACTTGTCATTCAGTTCTATTCATTAAGTATTATACGTGTACAGTGAACTGAAACACTGTAGAATGAATATATGTTTGGGCAAATAGGAAATTATTTCTTGATAGCCATAAATGTGGTATAAGTCATAGTAAGAATTAAGGGCAGGAGTTGACAAGCATTTACTCTAAAGAGTTTTTTGCTTTTACAACCACCTAAATATGGAAAAACCTCTCTTACCTCTTATGGGCTGTATGAAAACAAGTCATGGCAAGATTTGGCCTATGAGTCATGGTTTGTCAAGCCTTGGTTTAAAGAAACTATGAGGGTGAGCCAGAGTAGTTAAGAAGGACTTGAGCATCAAAACCACTATAAGCTTGGATGCCTGGAGTAAGCAGGATGGAGGGGTACAGAAAAGCAGGGCATGTGGAGGCCAGTGAGAGGAGGCAGAGGCTTATCAGATGGATGGAGGCTTTCAGGTTTCTAAGGGTCAATCAGAGCATTTCACTGGGGTGACTGAAGCTAAATGGGCCCAAAGGACCATTTCAAAAAGAATTTTGAATGTGAAACTTAGGAGCTGAGTTTCATGTGAAAATCTTCAGTCTCATAGATGGATGGCTTCCCTGGGCATTGGACAGAGGGATACCCTGTTGTAGCTCACACTGAACGGCTGCCCCTTACCATTCTCTCTTAAGTATCCTTGTTGGAGAAAGCTCATGGTCTCTTTCCAAAGATGAGTTCTCATCAAGATGGGTATGGCCTACGTTGGTACACTATTTAGACTAGTATCATCAAAGAGTGAGAAATTTCATGGGACCTTCACAGGAATAGTTGCCTGAATGCAAAGACAGTCTCGCCTGTGATAAATGGTACCCAAGTGCAGAGATGCCAAGTCTCTCAGCTCAGAAGGTTAAGTGTTCACTTTGTACTCTATGCACTTCATTTCTCTGTCACAACTCTTTTTGAAGTGGATGTTGTGAGATTGTATACATGTTTAACATTTCATTGTTTTTTAAATTATTTTCGGTTCGTTCCTGCCTCAATCCTTCAACCAGTCACTCCTATAAAAGAAGCTCCAGGGACAACATTTGGTAATGCCACTTTCTGAGCTTCAGCAAGACCTTTTCCTGCTTCTTGTCAAACTCACTCCTCTCTGTTGCCACACAGTTATATTCTGCACCTTATGAGTTGAACATGCATAAAACAGGTTACCACCTGATACTAAGAGAGCCATGACTGAATCTGATTTGGGATATCTTCTGGCTCTGTAACTTACTTAAACATATTTTCATGCCACCTTAACTTTTGGCTTAATCAGAATTCTCTGTTAAGGCAAATTTCATCATGAGAGTACTTGATCCTAATCTATGCTACCCAGGCTCTAACAGGGTAGTTTCTTTATACTTTCTTTATCCTGTGTACATCTATTTTATCTGCCTGCTTTTTGCTATTTTGTTCACATTTGGGTAATATATTTTCAGTGAATTGGTTAACAGATAATGTGATCAAGGCCAGTAAGTTTAAATAGTAAGCCTTATCTGTAGGATACATCTGACTCAACCTCCTGAAACACAAGAAAACCTATTAAGCTTCAGGAAACTGAAAGAATTTTTTAAAACCCTATAATCTGCAGAACCATAAACTTTAAAGTAACTAAATATTACCTTTTCCATCTCCAAAAAAGAAAATCCCAATGGACATTCACAACACAAACTTAAAACCACTCCAAGTCCAGATGTACCTGATACTATACCAGATAAACTCGGGGGCTTGGTTTCAGGAGCCTGTTGTCAGTTGGAAATGCAACCCACATGCTCCCTAGGGAGGGAGTCATAAAGAGTCCTTCTCCTTCAGGGTTGGCAGTGAGTTCATACCTGAAAGAGACATAATTTTTCCTGTAACTGTGGGTAGTTGGTGGCGAAATATTTTACTTCTCATTCTGTAGGTTACTTGAACATAAAAAAATTCTCCTGCCGATAAAGCCTACAAAATGAAAATAAGGCAGAGTGTTTTACAAATTCAAGACTTTTCCTGGGTACATAAACATCAAGTACTAGACACATTATGGAAAGTCTCAAAGAAGTAAAAAATAAATTTGGGCCTCAGTAAAACAGTAGAAGAGTTTGGGCTTTGACATCACATCAGAATTTGCCAAAGCAGAGGCATGAGAGCCAACAAAGACCTAAAAATGGAACATGTGTAGAGCCAACCAGAGGGGGCAGAGATCCTGTGTCTTCTAAGTGTCAGTCAGGGAGATTTTGCTGATGATTCTGCATTTGGATGACATCATGGGAAGTTGAAGGAGGGCTTGAATGTCTTACTCAGGAGTCTGATGTTTTTCTTACAAGCATCAAAAATCTCTTTTCATACCGGATAGTTCCTTGTACTGAGGGGGCGTGTGCCTTACTGGACACCATAGAGTAACTGCCCCTTAACCAGTCCCCTTGAGTGCCTTTGTTTGGAAGGAAGTCACCAGATCTTTCTGAAGCTGAGTTTTCCTCAAGATCACCCTAGCCTTTTTTGGTTATTTGTGTAATGGACACTTGGATATTGAGGAACTTTTCTATAACCATAATTTGATAAACATACATGTGTTCTTCATTTAGCAGCCATAAAAGTGCAAGGGAGTTTTTCACGTGCTTTTTGAAGATGGCTAGAAATGCTTAAGTAAATACCTACAAGTAACCTAAAGTTAACCATGTTAGATTCAGATAGTCGGGCACTAATTAGAGGAACTGCGGTGCTAAACAGAGACCAAAAGTAATGCCCGTCTCATGAGGCGAAAAAGCCCCTAACTGGAGGTTAGCCAAGTCTGGGCAAAATAACTGGTTTCCCTTCGCATTACTTTGCTAGGGCTGCCATAAAAAAATACCACAGGCTCAGTGGCTTTAACAGTAGAAATCTATTTCTCATGCTCTGAAGGCTGGAAGTCTAAGATCAAAGTATAAGCAGGCCTGACTCCTTGGCTTGCAGATGGCCACCATCTTGCTGTGTTTTCACATGGCCCTTCCTCTGTGAATGAGGGTCTCTTGTTTCTCTCCCCCTTCTTATAAGGACATCAGTCCTTTTGGATTAGGACCCCATTCTTATGACCTTGTTTCCTTAATTGCCCCTTTAAAGGCCTTATCTCTCAGTATAGTCCATTGTCAGTTAGGACTTTACCATATGAACTGTGGGAGACACAATTCACTCCACAGCACCCTTCATCTACAAAGTCAGAAAAAATATTCTAGAGGCAATGTTTCACTGGCGAGATTCATTTTGAAGTGACTGTTTTAGCTCTTCATACATTAAAATATCTCCTGTTTATTTTATTACTTCAGTTCCTGTTACAGACCGCGAACCCATCACTCTTAGAACTGAGACCTTTGGGACAACATTAGGTAATGACCCAGTGTGATTCGCTGAGTGCTTTCACGGCTCATTGTGCAGTCCATTCAGTCTCCCTCGTCTGGCTTTTCTTCCTTCATAAGATGGTCACTGTCATCCTCTGTTGTCATTCAGTCACTTCCTTGATCTGAAAAATACTGAAGCCTCTTAAAAACAAGTTTTCTGTTGTTTTTACGAGAGCAGGCATGAGCTTAGGTCAAAACATTTACCTGCTGTGTGTCACACTGAAATTGTCACATTATCTCATGCTTCACTGAACCATGTTCTCTGTTAAAGCTGAGTTTAAAGCAAATTGGGGTCTATTTCCTGTCTAAGCCAATCACAATAACAGCTATCCCTATGCTCCTTTGCACATTTGTTTCTAGATTTTTTAAAAAACTGTTTGCATGGTATGTTTGTTTCTTTGTTGGTGCTCTAAGTAATGATGTGTTTTATTATGGATTTAACAATAGGAAAACCCAGATCTGAAATTTTAGGTTACAAGCCTCTTCCCTAGTGTGACCCTGACCTCCCCCTTCCCTTGCACCAGAGCTGAGCAGTCATTCACAATCATTTTCTCTCCAGTGAGGACCTCTCTATGACTACCCAATTGTAAGAGCTAATCTTCTTGACTGACTAACTCAATTATATACATGAGTTTGCCCCCAAAGTACTCTCAATGATGGAAAGAAGACACATTGTCAAAAAAGGAGTGGAAAATGTAAATTACAGACAATTTCCTCAACTTTAGAAATATAAGAAGTTTTGGAAAAACCTCTCCAAAGTACCGAGAGCTGTAAGACCTAGAATGACACTGGGCTTTTCTTTCTCCAGCCACCAAAACATCACAAAGACCCCGTCGTCCCCGTCCCAGACCTAAAACCACACGGAGACCTCAAGTACCTCCCAGCAAACCGGGTAAATGTGTAGTTCCTTGGTTTCAGGATGAGCCCTCATAGCCTGTCCCAGTGGAGACCCAAAGCAGTGCCAGGCTCTTATTCTCTCTAAGAGTGAGACCATGAGGTGGCATCGGTCATATCTCCTCCACCCAGATGTCACGGAAAATAGGGCTGGTGAAATACAGTTGGTGCCAAAATACCTTAGTCTTTCTCTGTGACAGTCTTCTTTGATGTGCATTCTAGTGTATTTCTTACTACCAAATTCCATTCAAATCTTAAAGATGAAACTTCTTTTGCAGATCCAGTTCAAGTAAAACAGATTTAAGTCCCTTGGGTACTCCTGGACCAAGATTGGCAGTTGTAGTGATATGCCAGCTGTAGGGGACATACTGTATTTCTAAAACTATAGAATTGAGTACATGTTTGCGTGATACAAACATTAAACATTGATCTTGCAAAAGAAGAGTTTAGTGTGGACTGGTCTTGGACCTTGGGCCCACTACAGGTTTGAATGAATGGAAAGAAAAGTGAATAAGGCAGAAGAACTGGACATGTGGGGTGGGGGCTGGGGGGTCAGCTAGGAAAACAGTCCAGTCTGCCTGGAACAGACTTTCCTATTTCTAGATGGTCAGACATGGTGGCTAATGCTTCTGAATTTAGAAGGGTCCATCCAACCAACTGAAAGAAGATTTTGAGGACCTCATTCAAGAGCTTAAAAAGATATTAACTCTCTTTGATTTCTAGTTTTTCGGGGCTTAGGCCAGACAAATGCCCTACTGAGTATTATAGTGACCATCTTTATCCTGCTGTTTTGTGCACCATGGTTTGGATAGAGGTCTCAGATTCTTTTCATAGATGAGCTTTTGGCAAGATCAACATAGTCCACCTCAATGATTAATTGTCATACTACTTCAAGCTTATAAACTGTTGTATCCATGTTTACTTAAACTTAGTAAAGGCTCATCTTAAGCTTCCATAAAAGTACAGGTCTGATCAGATTTTTTTAAGGCAGTTTCTTTTCTAATATATATTAGGTTAATCATAAAAATATTTTCCAGTGCAGAGTTTTCCATATCAGTTGAAATGCATTAGTTAAAACCCGGAAGAATTTCATGTTGATCTTTAAAGATAGTTCAAAGGCTAAGCCTAAGTCCATGATTGTAATATGGTCAAATCATCAAAGAATAGTCATCTGCTTGTTTCCTCAGTAAATAATTTATTTCTTTTTCTTCATTTCTGTAGAAGAATTGATATACAAATAGATTTGTTTGGATGTGAATGTTTTAACGTTTCATATATTTTTAAATCTATTTTAAATATTATTTTCTGCTTAGTTCCTGCTACAATCCTTGAACCTGTAACTGTTAAACCCAAGGCCCTGGGAACAACATTAGGTAATAACAGATATACTGTGTTTTCAACAAGCCTTATCCTGCTTTTGTCAAACCCAGAGTCTCATCCTTCTTCATGTTGCCAGAGTGTCATTCTTTGTTTCTGTTCATTTGCATTCTTCTTGAAATTATGAAATCTCTTAAACAAACTGCCTCTTCTTTTTAAGAGAATCAGTCATGCATGAACCTACTTCACAATATTTATTTGTCATGTAACCTGTTTGAAATTGTGTCATCTCATTCTGTGTGTTGTTTTAGCAGTGTTTGTGGTAAAACTGATTTTCAAACATATGTGGATCTCTACCTCTTATCTAGACAGATAAAGGCATTAACAGCTATCACAGGGCCAAGAGGATCTTATTCACTTCACATCTAAATTTCTACCTTTTTATCTATTCGTATAGTATTTTGTTTTCTTCTATTTAGGTAGTAATGCATTATTTTAATAGTTATACAGAAGACCTGCTGAAGATTGAAAGATTAAGTTATTAGTCTCAGGTTTAGTATGTCCATCCTTTATTGTACATTAAAATTTAGCTGTGGTTTTTGACCTTTTTGTTGACCAATCAAGCTGCCCTATGAGACTTTGATTATAATTACTAATCTTTATTTCTTGAATTAGAAAGTGATTTTTTTCTTCAAAGAATCTTCTCTGATAAAAGAAAATCTATGAGTATATGTAACAGAAAACTCAAACTATAAAAAGGCAAATAGCTAACAAGTTGTTGAAAATCTAGAGTCATATTTTAGCCTCTCATAGCTTCTAGAGCCATTGGTAATAGAGTTATTTTGCAACCCAAGAATTCTCCTTCAGTTCCAAAATATCACAACAGACTCGTCATCCACATCCCAAACCAAAACCATACCAAGTCTTGAAGCACCTGAGTCCAATCTAGGTAAACACGTATTCCTGGTTTAAAGAATACCAGCCCCCACTCCAGTGGGGTCTCAAGAGTAATCCCAGTAGCTTGGAGTAACACAAGGTACAAATTGTATTAACCAGCAGTTAATCACTGTGGAGATGGCAAGAGGAATGCAGTAGGGGAGATGTGTGGGGCAACTGAGTGCCATAAGCTTGCTGTGTGAAGTCTTCTCTGTCATTGTGTATTTTATTAACTTCCATTTCTCTCTTGAAAGTAAAATTTCTTTAGAAAACTTCAGCATATTCAGTTCAGATTGGCAAACACTAAGTAAGTACCTTCAGTATCCCCCTAGTCACACTCGCACCTTTGGGAGGTACACATCAGATGTGGGAGACATGTTTTAGTCCTCCAACTGGCAAGCGTGTTGAGAACAAAGGGCTTTCCTTTACAGACAAGATAGAAGATGGCACTAGATAGCATCTATGCAAATGAAAGATTGACTTTTGCGTGCTACCAATAAGATGTGCTGGGTGCATAAATATCTGGAGCAGGGAAAGATGGGTTAAGAAAGTGGAGTCTTGAAATCACATAATACATAGATGAGTAGAAAAGAGGCAAGGAACAAAATCAAAAAGTGTGGATATAAGCAGAGACCAACCAAAGGAGAAAGTCTACCTATAATACTAGTGTAGAAATGTCTGACTGCAGGGTGGAGGTCAAAGCTCTTCTGGATCTCGTTCTGTCTGTGGACTCCCACAGGGGATCCTCAGGTGCCTGATAGAACAGTTGATGTTCAATCAACAAGCTCTCCTTTGCACACTAAGGCACACTCTTTGCTCAGAACAGAGGGACACCCAGTTTGACTCATCACACTGAGGCTTCAGTATCCTCCCAAAGATAAGTTCTGACAACACCCACCACCCCACTTTGACTTATTAGAATCAGATGATCAAAGGAAGAATAGGAAATAGTTACCTGACTTAGGTATGGCCAAATCTTAATAAATTAATTGTCTGCTTTTCTTGTTTTTAAAAGTTGCTATATAGTTTAAAAGAAGCTGTACTAGTAAGATTCATTTGGAAGTGAATTTTTTTGTTTTCTTTCATTTAAAACAATCATTTCATTTATTTTTTAATATTTTTGATTAGTTCTTACTCCAGACCTTGAAACTGTTACGTTCAGAACTGAGACTTGGGTGACAACACAAGGTAATGACACATTGTGATACCTCTTAAGTGTTTTTCCTACTCATTGTCAAACTCACTCCATCAGCTTCGTAGCTACAGGTTCTTTTGCTTCATGTAGTTCATCGTCTGTTGTCACTCATTCGTCCTCCTAAAATATTGAAGACTCTGACTCCTAAAAAATAACTTATCCCTTGTTTTTAGGAGAGCTACATATCAATTTAATTCAGGTCATAAGACATATAACCATCTGAAATTGTTCTGTCATCTTGTGTGTTTTTTAACCCCTGTTTTGGTAAAGCGAGGTTTGGAAAGCCTTCTGTTGATTCTAATGTCTATTTTGGAGTCAGAAAGTTTGTGAATCAAAAGTTTCATTTTAACCCTATATGGTATTTGTTCTTTGACATTTCAGTTGATTACGTGATCTTATTTTAGCAAACTATCAAAGTTTGTATTTACCATCACCACCATATTTTAGCAGTGATACCCCTTTTATTCAATGAACTTTCAATTGTAAGAAAAGACTTACTCTTATAATAAGGGTGAAAGTTTCAAGTTGTAAAGACAAATTCCCTAAATCTAATAAATTTTAGGAAATCTAGAGTCATGGGTCATGCTAACTCTAACTTCTGCATTACAAACTGTAGTAACTGAAGATTTTCTTCTTCAGCTCCTAAAACATCAAAACGGACTCGTCGTCCACGTCCCAAACCTAAAACCACACCAACTCCTGAGGCACCTCAAACCAGACTTGGTAAATGTGGGCTTCTTGTTAAAGGAGTGAGCTCTTGGGAGTCTGGGGTTGATCCCAGTGGTGGGAATGATAGGCCGTGTGAGGTGAAGCCCATAGGTGAGCCTATAGGTGAGGTAAAGGCACAAAATGATCCTCTGCTATTCCCACTGTTAAGTTAGCAAAGGAAAACATAGTTGGGAGAGACCTGTGCAGCAGCTGAATCCTTTGTGCTTTCTGCATGAAGAACCTCTCTTTTAATACCTACTTTACTTACTTTGTCTTATTCCATTCCATCCTTCTCTTAAAGACAGAATGTCTTAAGTAGAATCAAGCAATTTTATCTCAAGAAACAAACATAGATTATCTTCCATCTCTGCACAGCCACATCAACAGATGTGAGGCTATCACAGAAGCAGGTGACTTGCTTTTAGTTCTCAAATCTGTAGTGCAGTCAAAGTAAAAACCTGCCCCAACATGAAACATTCAAAGATTGAACCAAAGAAGTGTGTCTGTGCAAATCAAGATTGTTTTTTGCAGGGAGTATAAATATATATGAACTTAGAAACAAAGTTTATGAAGGACAGGAATAAGGAGTTGGAAAGAAGTTAGGTCTTAAAATCATGAAGATGAACAGAGACTGAAAGAAAGGAGGTGTTGAAGCCAGCACTGGCGACAGGCTTCCAGGGAGATCCTCTTTCTACGTGGTGATGATGGATAATAGCACTGAGTTTGGAAGGGTCCGTAAGAGCAGTTGAAGAAAACCTTGAAGGAATGACTCAGACACTTGAATCTGACCCTGGAAGCATCAGTGGAATCTTCTACAGTGTCTCCCACCTATATAGGGTACTGCATTTTTGTAATCAGAGCCAGAAGCTGCTCTACTGGGCACTACTCACTAAGTGTATGTTCCTTATCCTGATAAGTTAAGTCCCTTTACCTCAAATGCAATCTCAACCTATTTGCAAATACAAGTTCTCAACAAGATGAGCATAGTTCACTTTGCTTTATTCCTTTCTATGCTGCCTTTCAAACATAAAAATCTCAATATGTTTATTGTATCCATCTTATTTAGACATCTTAAACATAAATGGAAACATTGTATCCATATTATTCAGACATCTTAAACATAAATGGAAACATTGTATCCATCTATTTAGATATTTAAACATAAAAATTTCAATACAATAACAATATTTACTGTATCCGTCTTATTTAGATATCTTATTTTCTTAAAGCTTCTACAGAAAAAGCCAGCAATTGCCAGAACAGTTACATAAGTATTGGTAAAAATGTTTAAACAAGTTTCCTAGGGCAGCCTTCTACAGTAGTTGAAATTAGGTACTTAGATACCTGGAAGAATAGTGGGTTGGCACTGAGATGCTTACGGGATTGTGTAGCTATGACTGACTTTCTTATAAAAGAATGTTTACCTGGCTGTAGGTAAATAACAAGTATTTAATTACTGGAAAATTTTTAATTGCTATACACCTATTGAAGCAATATTATACTGGTAAGATTTAATTTGCTGACTTTTCACAAGTGTTTATTTCCTACTTTTGATTAGTTCCTTCTAAAGATCTTGAACCTGGCATTCTTAGAACTGAAGCTCCAGAAATCGTAGGTATGAAAATGTGTGTCCTTCAAATAATGCTTTCCTGCTCATTGTCATCCCATTGTAGCCACGGGCTCTCCTGCATCTTATAACCATCTCCACAACCTCTGTTATCACTCCATTACAGTCTTCATCTTGAAATTATGCCAAGCTCCATGGCAAATTATCTGTTGAATTTAAGAGAACTGTGCATATACTAATTTCAGGATATCGAACTATAATGTAACTGCTCAATATTGTGTCATGATTATGTGCATTTGTTTAACAGTGACTATTTTAAGCTTCATATCAAATGTGCATTTTCATCTATCACTTTTTACCATGCTTATGCCTCATCAATTTTGGAAATACCATGTTTCTTTGATCATATTACTTTTTGTTGTATTAGAATCTCTGTGATTATATTGGTTGATCTGTTGTTTCAAGGAATGGTGTTTTTAGTTACTTGTCAAAATTTTAAATATGCCTAAGTCTTAAAAGTTTACATGCTAGTCTTTTTTTTTCCTAGGTGACTCTTTCTCCTTCTCTTAACAGTTTAACAGTAATTCTTAGCTTTGAATCAAAGACAGTTTGAAATTTTAATGAGCACACTCCATTCATTATGCATTGCTCCTTACACTTTCAAACATGAATTCATTATTGTACTCATGATTTTTTAAGTAGTAGACACTTATCTCAACTTGTACAGAAGTGCAAGTAGATGGACAGATAATTTTTCTAGTAGAGTTAAAAAGTATACATTACATAAATGTGTAAAAAGCTTATCCAGCAGAGTCTTCCATATTAGCAATAGTCAATTAAACATCCAGAACTTCTGGTTGACCACACTTACATTTAGCAGATTCAGTACTCTGTCTCTAAGGTGATGAATGGCTACCTTGACACAGTTTGGTCAGATCTGCAAATAACAAATGTCTCTTTCTTCTCTCTTCTGAAGCTTAAAAATTAACTTATGAAATTAGTCTTCAAGTGAATTTTTAAAGTCTCTTTGTTTTATTTTATTATGTTTGGCCAGTTCATCCTGCAGTCCTTGAACCTGTTACTCTTAGAACCAAGGCTCCAGAAACAACATTAGGTAATGATGATATTCTGTGTTCCACAACAGTTTTTTCCTGCTCATTTTCAACCCATTACATCATCATCCTGATCATGTTGTCACTAACTCCTTAAAACTCTCATCATCCTCTGCCGTCCCTCAACTTTATTCTTCTTCTTAAGAGTATTGAAGACTTAAAATACGTTACCTGTTGTTTTTAAAAGCTAGGCAAGGACCTAGGTCAGAATAGCTGTCTACCATATAATCTAATTTGAATTTGTGTCATGTACATTTGTCCAAACAGTGCTGACATTTAAAGTTGAGTTTCAAAGTTGGTAATATCTGTGTCTTCTATAGACCAACTAAACCATAACAATTTTTATGGTACCATAGATTCTTCAGGATATTTAAATTTCTTAGTGTGAACCTAAGACTTCACCACCTACAGTTTGTCTATAGTTCTCACCTTTTATGAAGTTAGAGATTTATAAAACTTTCTACTCCTTGACTTAATTTTATGTGATTTTCATCTCTTAAGAATCTTCAGTGATTAAAAAATTAAACAAAATAGAAAATATTTTGATTTTTAAAAATATATGCCTTAAATTTCAAGGAGATAGAACATATTTTAGAAAATCTAGAGCCTTATATCCAAAACTACCTTCACTAGAAGTAATCCATAGTTTCTTCCTTCAGTGTTTTCCTAAAACATCACAGTAAAGCCATCATCCACATTCCAGCCCTGAAGAACCAGAGACCCAATCGGGTAAATAGGTTATTCCATGGTTTTAGGGCTGAGCCCTGGCAGTCTGTACCAAAGCAATGCCTCTTAGGGGAAGTAACATTCTTCCTATTCCCTGAGAGCCAAGATATGAGGTATGGTTAGCAGCTGCTTCTTGGATGAGGTCCTTGGTCTCTCTCCAAAGATGAGTTTATAGTGAGATTGACATAATCATTCACAGTTGTTTATTGCTATACCTGCATTAAAACACATGATCTCTTTTTTGTAGCCCCAAGTATTTTTTCAGCTTCTAAGAACTGTAACAAATTACTGTCAAGTATATTTTCATATGTATTTCCTAAACAGATCTTCTAAAGCAAGCTTCCTTCTTAGAATCAGAAAACCAAACATGTAGGAAACCTCATGTTGACCCTTTGACCTCATGTTGATTAAGATGTGGAGCAGAATTTAAGGGTTGTGACAACCTTCTGCAGTGAAATGCTCCTAGCTGCAGCTTGACCAAATCTTCAAAAAGAGACTACTTGCTCCCTGTCAATTCAAAAAAATTTTACAAATTGTTTGTCATTTGAAAGTAATGTTTTGAAAGAAAAATTAGAACTTTTTATTTGTGTTTAAACTTTCTCATGTTCATGTTGCTTTGGTTAGTTCCTGCTACAAGCTTTGAACCTGTTAGTCATAGGTCTGAGGCTCCAGAAACATTAGGTATTGACTTTTGTGACTTCATTAAATGCTCTTTCACTCGTTAAAAACTCACTCCATCACTGTCATGGCCAGAGTTTGTCCTGCTGCCTCAGACTGTTGTCATTCTATTTCATACTTCATCTTACAAGTAGTCACAATTCTCAATTCGAGGATTACCTATTATTTTTAACAGATGTCCCTGAATCCACCTGAGGAAATCTGCCATGAAATTCCCTTTGAAATTTCATTATATGATTCAGTGAAGAGTGTGAAGTCCATATTTCTCCCCTTTTACTTGGTATTAGATCTATAAGATGATAATTAAGTACCATGAAATATCTCTGAACAACTTACTTTCAATAAGATTTGTATGGAATTCTCATTTTTCTCTTCCTGCTTTAAGGAATGAGGTTTCCTTGTTATTTAAAAAAAAAAAAAAAAAAAAAAAAAAGTTGCTGCCTTAAAGTGCCAATCCTAGTAAATTTGTTTTAGGCTCTACCATCATTGACAAATGACTATCCTTATCCCTCACCACAGTTTAGCATTGGTTCTTAATATCTACTAAGTAGGAATCTCTGTAAGCATCTAATTATGCATATTAATACTTATTTCTTTAACTAACAAATGTTATTGTTTTGGTCTCTAAAAGACCCTCAGTTGTGAAAATGAACAAATGAGATTAGTAAAGTAAAAATTTTCAAACTTAGGCAATAAACTCAAGAATCTATAAGATGTTTTTAAAACATAGGTCTATGTATAATGCTGTTGATAGTTTCTAGACCTGCAAACACAATAGCAACCCAAGATTTTTTTTTCCTTTAATCTCAAAAACATAGGGAAAAAGGACCCCATTCTCCTAAACTTTAAACTTCCCTTAGCTTCACAGTTGAAACAAATAAAATGTATAGTTTCTGGTTTAAGGAGTCCTTGCAGAGTATTGAAGTTGGGTCCCAGGAGTGACAACAATGTGGCTTGCTGACTTGCACTTCCCACCTTAATGCCCCGTTTAGTGAGAAGGCACAAATAGTGGTTAGCATCTCTACAACTGCACACTGACAAGAAGGTTCCTGCTTGGTAGAAATCTGTAGTAGCCAAATTAATCACATGCCCTGCATAAGGCCTGTCTCTGATAAAAAATGTATCTATTCAGTTTTCTTACCATTTTATTCCATTCATCTCTTTTTAAAATAACAATGCTGCTTTGGCTTAGGTAAACAAGTATTTCCTTGCCTTTTGTGTGCCCAGCACCATATCAGCAGTCAAGTGGGGTGGGGTGAGGACCAGAGGCAGACATCAAAAGTAAAGGCATGTTTTACCTCTTGAACAGAGTATAATATAATCGTGAGGAAAACCTGTTTTCAAGTTTTTCTTAGCTATAAGACAATTCGCTTATACAAAAGCAGTCTATCTAATAGTGTGATAAAAATCTACAGAGTAAATATTTGAAGGAGTCAAGGATCTATGTGGGCAGTAGAGATTCATTGAGCTCTAGAACAAATTTAGAAATTTATTTAGTGGATGGAGGGGTAGGAACAGCAAAAATAAAACAAAAATTTCCACAACTATTGAGGGGTGTTCCCAAGGGGGTTTTCAAACTAGAACACAGAACAAAACCCTCCTAGATGACACTGAGCTTTTTGTTAAAGATGCTATCATGAGATGAGCTGGAGGCAGCTCTTAGAAAGCCTTATGGAAATTCAGATTCAGATATAATAGTAAATAAGAACCTAATTTTTTCAAAAAGGCTCTAGGTTTTTCTAGAAGAATGCTTAAGATCAGGGGTCAGCAAATTTTTTTACATGAAGAGTTAGATGGTAAACATTTTAGACAGTAGACTCAGTCTCTGGCACAACCATTCAATTTTGCTTTTGTAGCTTGAAGGCAACCCAAGCTGATATGTAAATGACATGCAAATAGGCCTTGAATCATCTTGTGGGTATGATTGTATTCCAGTAAGACTTTATTTGAATTTTCTACCATCGTCACATGCCATGAAATATTACTTTTTAAAAAAATCTTTTCCATCATTTAAAAATATAAAAACCATTCTTAGCTTACAGGCTGGACAGAGGGCTGAAATTTGGAGGGCCATAGTTTGCCAATCTCTGCTTCAAATAATCCATACTGTGCATGGCTCTCCTAAACCATGTGATTTTGAAGGTGTCTGTGTTTCAATTCATTGCTACTTTTGTCTAAAATCTCTGAAATAAGTTACCATAATTTCTTTGACAATGTAGACCCTCTTCTGTCAGCTCCCACTGAATTGCAAACTCTTATTTTGGAACCAGTGACATCACCAAGCCTAGAAATGACACAAAGTCAACCTGGTAAATAGATTTCTTTTGTCTATCTGAGTGCACTGTGAGTTTTAGGGGACACACTCCAGGTGTTTTATTTCCAAACATAAAAAATGCAAAAGAATACACATATAGTAACTCTGTATTGTACAGCACTTTCCATGATTGCATATTGATGTTAAATTAGTAATACATTATATTCATATTGTTATTCAACCGTATAGAAATACATATCTTCCTTTCATTGTATTCATATTATACTAGAGAATAATCACGTTTAGAGAATAATCTGAGTAGTCAACAAAACCACTTAGAAGAACTGATTTTATTCTTTGTCCTTATTTTTCACTAATGGTTACAAAATTTGTTCTCTTTAGTAATAGCTAAATTTGTACTCTGCTATGTGAAAAGCATGCTAGTTCAGTTGTGACAATCAAGGAAGAAGAAAGTTCTCAATTCAGTAGGGATAACAAAAAGTCACCTTACACAATGTGAGCCTGACCTCATTGCCCTTCAAAATAGGAAACAAAATTTTTAAATCATTCTTAGCAATAGTTGCTACTCCCTGATATTTATTTTGAAACATTGGGTCTTCTTTTTCTTCCTAGTATAGGATTACAATTTCTTTACATCTCTTTTGTGCATCTTTTAATTAGCTAAATGGCATTTTGGTGCTCATATTGATGGTACAAGGCATGGTTGTTAACAGTTACCTACAACACTTCCAGGACTGTGAATTCAGTTCAGGTACTAGAGCTTCCCCAGTGTTAATAATATTGTTTCTACTATAATAGCTTACATTGAGCACTTACAGGTTCAAGCCCCCTTTCTAAATACTTCGTTTGTATGACTTCATTTAATGCTCCTAACAACCCGTCTTTGAGCAACTGTGCCATTTTGTGTGTGTTGTTAGTTTTTGAAGTTCTGGAATTGGATACATTTAACATTGAGTCATCCAAGGAAGCTATAGGTAAACATGTTCTGCAGTGGCTTTCCATCTCATTGCAGGAGTCACCTCTGGATGTCTTTATGCTTTGTGACATTTCATAGCTCCTTACAACTTGTATGTGCTCACCAGTGAATCTTGAGAGTCAAATATGTATAGCACATTGTAGTGTCTGCTGTATTGCTATGCAAGTTACACAATTTCCTTATTTAGTTTCCTCTCACTCTGAATGCAAAATGTAATCTTTTTAATATTCCTATCACTCTTTCAATAAGAATATGCACATCTTATTTTTCATTTTCGTATCATTCTTAAGATTCATCTGTCTATGTTCCAAGGATTCATTCTGTCTTTTTGTTACTGGAATCCTTAAAAAAAATTTGTAAGGAAGTGAAATTATCTGCTTTGCTCCAGGTAGAAATTGCTGCAGACCCTGCCCATTACTGTCAGTGTGTGTGTGTGGCGTTCCCACGCTGCACACTGCCTTCATTTCCTGTCTTCATTTCTGCCCTCTTAAATTGTCATTATCTTCATAATCTACCTAAAAGTTATTTATCCTCACAAATGTATCTAGTTAAGATCACTAACCTCTGTTTTCAAATTAACCAGTGCTCCACTACAGTGTGCTTTGGGCTGCCCACCACTAACTAGCCATTCCCTTGCTCTTCCTTAGCAGCAGCTGAAACATATTCCACTGCCAAAACACCAGTCAGGCCAGATGAGCCACAGGCTGAAGGTGGTAAAGGTTTTTGTGCTTTGATTCATTTATTCGACAAAGTTTTAATTAGCCTCTATTGTCCATGGAACATGACTGTCCAAGCTGCGGTACTTGTTCTACAATCAAATAGAGCTGAAGAGCTATAGCTTCCAAAATTCTTGGAATCTTAAAATGATAACTGACTCTGAATACAGAACTAAATTACAGTTTCTCTCTGGTATCTGAATCCTGAGACATAATAACATTTGACAGTCAGTTAATGACAGTTACAACATAAATATTAGTTGGAGGATTAGTACTACAGAACAGGATTTCCCCTCATGGTTCTCTCTCTTTTCCTATCTAACTCCATTGTCTTATCTCTAAAAATATGGTGTAAATTCGTTAAGAGGATGAGGTGTGTTGAGTTTCAAGAAAGAAACACTTGACTGTTGTTTAACATCTTAAAATTTCTAAAAGTGTTCTCCTTTGTTTTGATACAGTTGTGGAATCTATTACCCCTGTGTCTGAACCACCTGAGAGCACACTAGGTAATTACACACCTCAGCAGCTTTTGTCCTCATTGCCCCATCACCGGAGAACATCAGGTTCTCTCTCACTGTCCATTCGTGCTGTGACGTCACTCCATCCCGGCAGTTAGTTTCCATTCTAGGTGCTTCTGTTCAAAATCATTGTCCAAAAAGTCTCTTCTTCCCTTCAGTTTTGTGTCTAGACCTTGGTCTCTTTCTCTGCTTGTGTCAGTGAAACTGTTGAATCTACAGCTTTTTTTTGCTAACACTGAACATTCTGCCAGCTTGAACATTTCAGATATATTTTGTTTGATGATCCATTTATACTTTCTGTCCTAGCAATGTGGTTTCCAGTAACATTCATTCCATCCCATTCATTTACATGTTTGATTTTTTTCCTCCAAAATTCAAATGAAATTCAATGCTTTTTGACAGTCATGTTTTAACATTTTTTTCTTATTTTGATTTTCCTGTATGGTTATTATTGAATCTATCTCTCTAGCACTGTTGCAGAGGTATTAGTGTGTAGTGAGGATTTAAAAAGTGAAGATATTGCTTACTTTGAAAGTATTTTGTTACCTGGCATCTATAAGCATTTTCAAAATTAAATGCATTATGAAGAAATGGGAATGCTATTTTGTTACAGGGTCACAATTTTCTTTCTTTTCATTTTTTTTAAATTTGTTACCATCCTCCCTGTCATCTGTACTCAAAATATGAAAAGCACTACAGTATCCCTGGCTACCTTCCTTCAGTTACCATAGAAACATCACCTCTGCCTTCCCAAACTATAATTCTACCGAGCCCAGATGACACTCATATTGAACCCGGTAAATATATTACTTTGTATGCATGTAGAAGGTGAGTGTTTGCAGAATTTTTAAGAAAGGAAAAATAGTGTGAGCTCTGCTAGCTATCGGGACCCCTAACTTAATCACTTTGCTTGGTGAACCTACTTTTCTGATGTCCCACTTCTGTCCATAACTGATAGCCAGTCACATAACAGTGCTGTGAATATTCTGTCAGATGTGGCTGGAAAAAACCTCTAAGATAATCTGCAGGTGTTTCTTAGAGGAAATAGTAATGTTTCTGAGGAAGAACATTTATTCTATATTTAAATATAAATATTTATTCTAATTTTAAAAACTTTACCGTCTTGACTAGTTTTACAAATTCTGTGGTCATATAAAAAGTATTTTAAGATATCTAGTTTGTGTTTGAGATTAACAGAAACCTCCAGAAGCAGATTTCACTGTGGAATCTACATAAAGGGGTACACATGGCTGGTCACCTTGTCATTATTCAGATCCTTTTCTTCTTTCTACTGCTCTTTCCTACAGTGGTTTGGCCATATCTCTGTATACAGATAAGAGAAATGGAAATTAAACCAAGTCATAAAGTTTTGGCAAGTCAAGTCATAAAAGTTTGCTTGATGGTGGAGTTTGCAATACAGGAAAGGAAATCATCCATATGGATAACTAAATGTGCTGCTTCTTACAAGGAAAACTTTCAGTATCTACAAGCTTTTTGGAAGAGCAGTTTATCATCAATAACCCAAATTTGTATTTTATTGCCATTAAATAATTTTATATGGCTCTCTTTCCAAAGGAGACATGGATATTAACTTTACTCATTGTCCTCTAAAATATCCTATTAACCTTTCCCCATTAAACTCTACAGTTTTTTACCAGAAGTCCATGCTGACTGCACTAACTGAATCTGCGTCAGTTATCTCTAACTTTCCGAAGTTTTTCTAATAGCTATAATAATTGATAGGATTGAAATATTTAATCGTGAACATTATTAGTGATACTTATCTCATTCTGAAAATTGCCTCATGACATGCCTTCACCTGCCGATGGTCTCTCTTACTCTGTGGGGGCAGCTAATAGCCCTTCAGTAGGAGCCTCAGCAAACAAGGAAGTTGAGAATCAGAAAATCACCAGACTGGTGGAAACTTTAGAATCATAGAACTTGAGGATTGCAAAGGCTCTTCAAAATACTGTTAGTTTTGATAGAGAACCTGAACTGAAGACTGAGTGATTAGCAAGGGGACTCAAAATCTCTGAACCTCAGGCTCCTAAAGCAGGTGTAATCTCCAACATGTCTTGTGTTCATCTTTCCACAGGTAAGAAGATTCCACTGAAACAATTGCATGCTTTGTATTTTTTTATTTAGTATCAGGAGGAAGTCTCTGCAAACTTTAGAAACTTCTAGTGTCAAACAACTTTTACTTTCAGCGAGCTTTTCTTAAGGTTCCTGAACCTCCATGACCTTGAAAACATTTGTTTCTTTTTATCTGTTTAATCACCAGTACACTTCAGGCCAATCAAGTGAGGTGTTTTCACAAGCTGCAACCTTGAATTTGATTATTCCTTTCCTCCAGCAGGCTATACTTTTAATTTTCTTGGTGAAGAAACTAATTGATTTTTACACAGAATATCCTAGAACTTCTTTCTTCTTTGGGAATTGCTCAGCCAAGGAATAACTTTCTTCAGTAATGTATCCTTTCCATTTTTCTTCCCCCACATGACCCATGAAAATTGTTTTGTTTAATCAGATTAAGTCTTTCCAATAGCACTTGCTATTAAAATGCATTTATTTTCTAGGTATATTTGGAATATAACCTGCTAACTTCGTTTCTGTTTAGAAAAATTTTATCTCTTTGCACTTAAAATATTATACTGGGATATTCTGATAGCATTGTATGAACTTATAAGGATGAATTCTTGTTATTAGGAAATTGATTTTTGGTCTATTTAAAAGGTATTACAGTAGATATTCCTGAAATTCCAACAGTTTTGTATATCAGCTGAATATCTTGGATATCATTTAATGTGCCTTCTTGTTTTGTTTTGTTTTTCATTATAATAAGAAAATAATGTTTGTGGGTCTTTCAGAACTCTAATTGCATTAATTGCTGTGTGCTTAGGTCTTGGTTTTTGACATCCTAGAGGCTTAGGGGTTGTGATTCTTAAGAGCTCAAGAGCTCCAAACCTGTATCCTTTCTTTTAGCTCCCAAGCAGATACTGCGTACTCCTCCCAAACCAAAAACACCTCCACGTCCAAGAATCCCAGAAACACAGCCAGGTAAATATGGAGTTTACATTCTGGTCTGAAATTTGATGAGAGTGGAATTGTTCTGCTGAATGATAGTGAGTTGGGTTTTCCACCTTTATAAAATAAGTCTCCCTTAGAAACCTAATAAATATCTATATTTTTGTTTATACTTTATGAGGAAATATACTGTTGGAATGGTTTATTCCAGAAAACTTCCCTTTGTTATGTTATTTGAGAGGAGATGGAGAAGAATGGAACTTCTTAAAGAGTAGCCCACCTCCTCCGTTTGCCTCTCCCAGCTGAAGGCTCCATATCCCTTTTGCAGCTTCTGACTGTGCCTCCCCTACTAATAACCTTTTTTATTTTTTGACCTTTCAGTAGATCTTATGTAATATGTCACTCAGATTTTTTTAATATATATATATATATCCTCTCCTATTATTAATGGTTATGCAATACTGCTTTGGTTGGTTTGCTGTAAAATTTTGGTAAGGACCCAAAAAAGATTCATTATGAACTATTTTTCATTCTGTTCAAGAGGCTCTTATTTGAATGATTAACTCTAATCCTAACTTTGTAAAATCAAGATCTTGTCTGATTTGTCCAGCTGCCTCAGAGGCTCTCCAGTTTGGCCTATTATATACTTGACATGCCTCAAAGAAAGCTCCTCTTCTTTTCTCCCATTCAGTTTCTATTTTCATTTGTGACAAAATGTCAGCGTTTTACACCTGATTTTTACTTCTCTTACACATCCAGGCTCTGCAGTTCATCTGTTACTAAGCATGATACATTCAGTTCTTCCACACAGCTCTAGCATTAGTGCCTACTCCAAGCATCTACCTGGTCCTGGCTCTGTTAATCAACTGATCTGTCTCCTCTCTCCCAATTTCAAATTACATCAATACTTGATGTTTACATGATTTTGAGTAACTACTTCATTTCATAAGTTAGGCTTATGCTTTGTTGTATCATATGTATTAAGTATGACTGGGAGATGATGAAACCAAATAACTCATGATCTAAGTTCTCTCTTTCAGCTCCAAAGGTGCCCCAGCGTGTTACTCCAAGGCCAAAAACATTCCCAAGTCCAGAAGTGTCATATACTCTACCTGGTAAATGCTTTATTTCATGTTTAAGCCATACGTACACTCTGCTTCAATGAAACATGAGATCTGATGGATGTGAGGTCAATATTCCACTTATGTTTGGATACCATGTGGTATCGCACGTGGTGTGATCATTTCAAAGATTCCATAAGCTTGTATGGTAGGTAATTGATAAAATCAAAAGGCAGAGGATTGTGCCAAAGGGAGAATGCCTCTTTTAGAACTGAAGTTCTCTTATTTGGGGACATATAAACCCACCAACACTAATGATGCCATGCTCAAATGTTTCACCAAAATAAGGGAAACAAGAATTCAGGATTCTTTTCACAAAAATGATAAAACAATGTTTTACAAACAACAGAAATGATGTTTAACCATTTTCTTGTGTTCATAAATTTTACCCTATCCAGCATTGAGTTTTTGTGTTTTTTTTTTCATTTTTTCCATCAAATTCTGTTTTACCAGTTCATGGAGCAATAGCTTGGGTTAGAAATAATATATTTGTTTCACACACACAAAATTCCTTTAGCTCTAAAGCTATGTCTTGCCCATCATCTGAGCGGGACCCCTGTCCCTTTCTGGAGGAGAAAAGTCTCCTGTCTGTGGGAGGAGCCAGTGTGGGGGTTGCCAGGAGCCAGGCACTCTCTCTGGGCCCTGCTGCCCGTGCTCCGGGTCCTCCAGACCTGAGGAAGCTGCTGTTAGCCAAGGGCTGATCCCATAAACCAAAGCAAGCTCGTTTTTAACAAGAGTATCTGGGAAATACCGTAGGTTTTTTTCTCTTTCTTTCTAAGGATCCAATTATTATAAATTCCTAGATGCTCCTAGAAATGTATAAAAGATTCCCAGAACCAAAGGATTTCTGAGCTAAGCTTGAAATGCTGGCAGTTTGGAAGCTGAATTCACTTGCTGTGATGTTCCCCAGGTTGTGTAAGCTGAGGGTGTTCCTGTTGCGGTGGGACAAGAGGGTCATTGCAGGTGATGGTAGGCTAGCAAGAAGCATTTTTGCCCTGCAGTCTAGAATTTATAGTTGTACCACTAAATAACAGCCAATTTAATAAATTCCAGAAAAACTGATCTTTTTTTTTTAAAAAGGTCAGCTTCTTATTTTCAGCTGGGAAAAAAAATGTTAAAGAAACTGAGTCATTGCAGTTAACAGTAGATTTGAGTGATTTTATCAACTTTCCCTTTTTTGTTAGAGAAAGTAATACAGTCAGTTCCTAATGTGACTTAATCTCATTAAGCCAAATGTCTAATAACCATTTTCTTCTTTTTCTAATATTTGTCTTAATTCCACCCATACCTTGTTTTTCACAGCAACTCTAACCTGTCAGTTTGAGCAACAGAACAGCACAAATGCTCCCCCTGGAGCCTCCACTGGGCTGATTCTACTGAGTCTCCATCCAGTTCCAAATGTTCACCACTGTATTCATCAGGGCTTCCCCTATTGCTCCAGGGCTGTGATGCCTACAGGAATAACCAACCATAAGGCAGCTGTTACTACATTTCAGTTTCCTTACAAGTGTTTAACAGACTGAATTCTGTTCAGACCATTTCTGGGTTGTATCTAGGCTCACGTTTGCATCCTAATGAATACAAGATCTTGTTTGCTAGCTCCTTTAGGTCATACCTCAGAGAACAGGAAATTATATGTGTATTTCATTTGAACTGGTATCCTGGAGAAATAGATGCTCTGTGAATGTCGAAAAATGTAAAATGTGCAGAAATGAGTGTGGAGTTATGTTTATCTCAAAACTTATTCTGAGAGACATCAGAAGTAACTAACTTGAATTTTTAGACCTGTAGCAAGTCAGTCTAGGATTCGCTATAGATTCCTACACATAACACTGGTCTCACCCAGGTAGGCCTTTAGAAAATATATTCCAGCCACTCAGTTGAATTGTTGACAACACTTAATGAGGAATCTAAACAATCTGAGCCCATACACCATGTACAGAACCAAAACAGAATCAGCTTTTCCTCAGATCCAGTTTGGAGAAATGACTTTTTAATTCAGAGCACAGGACTCCCCCTGATGCCTGGCTCAACAGACCTACACCTTCGTTGTAGATTTGTTTCTACACCAGGGACTGGCTTCGCTTTGTGGGGATCCTTCTAGCCCACACGTACTTGAATAGATGTAAGTCACTGAGAGAAAACCAGGAAGAAAATCTAGGTTTCAGCAAGCTCTCCAGTCCTCACTAATGGCAAGTGGGAGATGGTAATGTCACTAAGGCAGGGAGGGACCACAGAGGGAGGAATAAAGGCTTGGATTTGTACGTGCTAGGTTTGGAGGACCAGTAGGACTTTAAAGTGGGAATGTCTAACGTTGCAATGTATTTCTGGATCTCTAAAGGAAGTCAAGATTTGGGGTGTAGACTAGGGAGTCACCTGTCTACATGTAGAAGGTTCTTAAATCTTGCGAGGGAGTGACATCATCCAGGAGAAAGTATAGGCTGAGAAAATAAGAGGTCAGAGATCAAAGACTTGGGGCACACAGTTACATTTAAGGAGTGAATAGAGGAAGAGAAGCCAGCACAAGTTGCTGTCATAAAAGATAAAAGTACCAGGAAAGGGAGCTTAGGATGCAAGGCAGAGAAGGGTGGTCAGCAATGACAGTGGGGTGACAAGGGGTCAGAAGAGGTGCTGGCCTTCACAGTGCAGGTCCAGAGCCCATATCTGAAACCCATGGGCCTGTGCTTCAAAATTCCGTAGTTTTTCCATTTTTGGAAAGGTGAAACAGTGCATGTATCATTGATTACAAATTATGTATGTAGTAAGAAGTATGAATAGTCATACTACACAGGATGAATTAAAAACTATAACTAGTCTTAGGTCAGTTCTAGTCAGGCTTTGCTGTCAAATAAGTTATAAGAAAACTTTCAGTTTTCAGAGCATTTCAGACTTTAGATCTATGGTTAAGGCATCATAGATCCATGGTTGCAGGAGATCAGTGAGGTGGAAGCCAGACCACGGTGGATGAAGAAAACACACTTGAGAGATTGAGAAGCAGAGACAGATCCAGTGCTTCAATTAAAGGAATGAGAGCAAGAGAGGGATGGTCTGAAGGGAAGCCATGTCAAGGAAATGATTATTTATAAGGTGCTGGAACATTTGAGCTCTTTCTTTGGTGGAAGGGAGGAACTCGTGGATAAATGGAAATACACACTAATGGTGAAAAACAAAAGATAGTAGAAGCAATGGAAAGTGAAAGGCCCCCTGGGAAATGCAAGGGCAGGTGGCCCCAGAGTGCAGTGAAGCTTGTAAAGTGAGCTCCAGAAGGACAGGGGACCAGTCTGGGCTAAGGGTACAAGGTCAGAATAAAAGAATTGGGGGGTCAGGAGGTGTAAAGGGTGTATAGTCTAGGTGTATTTACTGTTCTAGAGAATCCACCTCTTTGTAGCCTGTTGCAGGGGTAAACCTTAAAGACTTCATATTCTGCTCTCTTTATCAGAGAATCACACATAAATTCATCTACTCTGGTAAAACATGCATGCACGTTCATTTACATTTGTCCATATTAGATGCTTCCACTCATGATGGTCTTGTATTGAGTTTTTCTTTAAAGTGCAGCCCTTTATTCAAAAAGACAGTTCATATAATTGGTTAATTAATGTGAGTGGTAATTTGATAATATGATTGAGCCTAAAACATACTAATGGTATTATATATGTTATAAAAATATGCCTGTAAAGAAATAAAAACTGCCTTCTCAAATAAATTATCATTATTTAGACTAAGTTTCCCCCAGCATGGAAGATCTAGGATTTAGGAGCTATGCTCTTGTTCAATTTAATATTAAGGAGGAATGCTACATAGGGAAAAAGAAAAAAACAGCTTGCCTTTCTTGGAGCCACAGCTGCCCAAGTAAGAGAATGATTCATAACCCTTTCCTGTGAATATCTCTACTTCTTTCCTTTCCACTGCTTTCACCTGCTTTAGAAAGCCTGCTCTGGCAGTTTATTAAATCATCACTTCACGGTTAAAGAGTGCCAGAGGAGGCAGCAGGAATCCACATTAACCCAGCCTAGAGTCCTCAGCAAACGAAAGCAGGCAGCAGTGATGTATTTACAGTACAGTAAATTTATGGGAGTACATTTCTTCTCAGCTTCTCCTCCCCCTAATCCTAGTAGACCATTTAGGGTCTGTATCAACTTCAGACTGCTTTGTATGGTCATGACCTTTACAGAGCCACATCAAAATGCCTTTTCCTTCACCCTCCAGATAAACATTTAGGTTGATTTACAACTGGAAATTCGTTGTGTTTTACCAGATGAAGCCCTAAAAATAGAGCAAAGGTAAAACATTTATTATGGTGATAGATTTTCCCTAATTTTGTTTACCACTGATATTTTGGAGTTGTTTTTCTTAAAAAAAAATCCAGATTTCCAAGATCACCTGGAATGTTACCTTTTAGCTCCCTGAAGTTCTAATTGAGTCAAGATTCTACACAGTCTACCAAATTCCACAACTGTGATTTCACTGGTACTTAGCGACCTAGACTAAGAACAAATGCAATATGCAAGTTAAATATGATCCCCAAAAGCAGTAAAAAGAGAGTGCCTGTTCCATAGAAGCTATTTTTACACTGAGGGTAAAGTGGTGCTTGGCCACCTCATGGTGCAAAAGTTTTCTTCAGCTTTTTCAGAGGCAGAATTCCAACCTGAATCCTAATGTTTTTTCCCAAGCATCAGATAAGATGCAAGAAAATTAAACTGCTTACCAAAGCAACTCTGGTACTTAAATCTTCAGGGTGGTCAGAAAACTTTTCAGTAAGAGAAAGGCTGAGAAGAAGCTCCTTGTGGGGAAACTGAGTCAAAGAACTACTTTACCTTGCTCTTGATAGGAGACTTTTTCACACAGAAATCTGGTACTAACAATGGGCAGATCACCCTGGTATTTTTCCTGGTGAGAGACAAGGTATCAAATTCCCAACCTACTGTTTTATTTTTGCCAAAATAGAACTGGGCACAGGCATTAAAACTATGCTGGATCTCAGGGGCTGAATACGAGAGTCTGTTGTTGAGCTGACATTTGTGTCCTATGCTTTCATATTCTCATGTCAGGAGGCCCTGACACCTAAAATACTAGGAGCCACACCACTAAGAATGAAATAAACGGCATTTATCTCGCATTTACTATGTACCAAGCACTCTTATGAATTTTACATATGGTATCTTCTAATGAATGGTTGACTCCTTTTGCTCTGTTTTCTCCCCAGGATAACTCTTAGTGCCTTTTAAAATAAAACTTTGTTCTTTTCTTAGATATTAAAGAATTTTTTTTTCTTTCTTGCTGTTTCCCTCAATCTGGTGGCCATTTATGCCTACAGTACCTAGGATAATGGATTTTCTATAAGTATCAGTAGAATTTGGGCATGAATATTAAATGCCAGCTAAAATTTCAGGCAAAAACTGACTTTCTGTTTTGAAGATAACTTAACCTTCTTATGTTTAATTACATTAGTTATTTCCTCTTTTTTTTTACCCCCCTCAAGGGAAGCTTCAAAATGAATTGTGACCAACTTTGTTTTATTGCTACTAGATCCTTCCCCACACAGTGACATTTTTCCAGTTTGAAAAGAATGGCCAAATTCTTTGGCCATTGTGAAAATACCTTTGCTTTATTCATGCTTCCCCAGATATTCTGTCTGTGGGTTAAGTTTCACTTCAGGTGTGACATTTAGAGTATGATGTTTTATAATCTTTCTCTTTCAGTTCCAAAAGATGTGCTCCTTCCCCATAAACCAGACCCTGAAGTCTCTGAAAGTGAATCTGGTAAATGGATTATTTTATTTTCCCAATTAGAAAGTGTATTTTTCAAAAAATATCCTTGAGATAAATATATTTTTAATAGTTGTGATGGGAAGAAGTTTACAGAAAATTATGGAAATAAAATGTATATTTCTTTTGGTGAAGATTTAGTCACACAGTCTGTTTGATTTTTTTCCCTTGTTAACATGAGAGAATAGTATATAATTAGTTAATTTCCCTGGAAGTGTTTTCATTAAAAAGGAGAACATGCTAAAATTATCAGACATAATTATTAACTGAGTGGACCATGTTTACTTTCTTTCAAATTGTGAATAAAATTATATTCGAACTGTGGATGTACTTTTAAGTAGAAAATGTAGGTGCCTACTCAAAAATCTTTCTCAACATGACACTGAATGAGATTTTTAAAGTTTTAGTTAAACTAAATTCCCTAAGTGGTTTCTAATGTATAGAATTTTCTCACATTTATTATGGTACTTAGAAAATAATTAAATGTCAAATGGATGCATTTAGAAACATTTTTACTTCACCATAATATATTTTTATTTCATAAATATATTTCCTTGGTTTGCTTCTGGACTAGTTCTACAACCAGTTACCTTTAGAATCCATCCACCAGAGACAACAATAGGTAATGGTTTTCCCATATTGACCACCTCTAATTGTTTTCTTTGCTACCATCAAGATTGCAAGTCTGTCTCAGTTTACCATTTTGAAACATCATCTCTTCTCAATCCATTTCATCATTTCCTTCTCATTATTATTATTCTTTCCAAAATAGGAAAGAAATGGTTTCACTGTTGTAAAGACTTACCTATGAAGACCAGTTTAATATAGCTCGTTACCAAGTCCATCCTCACCTACTTCATTGATCTCCATGTTCAAAATGATTCTACCCTATTCATGTCCATCTAGTTAACATTTTCTGCTGATTGAATGGTTCTCAGCTGTAGTACAATACATTAGCATGTGACAAGCTGTAAAAGGTGCTATGAAGTAATTAATAACATCAAAATATTGAAATTTTCCAATAACTTATTTTCAAAAGTAAACTTGAGCTGGCTAAAGATAACTGCTACAACAATGATATTCCCACTCATTGTGTAATCCCCTGTGCTCTCTGGGGAGGCAGAGAGGGACAGAGCTGTAGCTGACAGACCAGGGCCTTGCCTAACCCATACCCCAACTTAGCCAGGACATTAAATGTCATTTCTTATCTGTCCTGCTAGAAAAAAGCAGTTGAGAACCATTATTCTAATATTTCACAGTCATTTTTCTGAAGGTTCTGTGCACACCTAATTTTCTTCTTCATGTCCCACTTAATGTTTCCTTTTTCTATTTCAAATGAAGGAATCTAGAGTAATAATTACTCTGGCCTGGTGCTGGCTTTTGAATCTGAAGATTGATAACATTGATGCTTTCTTTTTGCAGCTCCATTAGAAACACGAGGCAGTCCTTTCATACCTATGATTTCACCAAGTCCTAGTCGAGAGGAACTACAAACGCTGGGTAAATTTTGTTTGTATATTTCAGTCTGATGAGGACCTTACCTTTTAGGGATTGCCCTTAAAGGAGCCATATGTATATTGTGTTCATTGGATGTTTCCAAAAATTGAGGATCTCTTTTTACCATTAGAAAAGAATATCCATTTCACTGATTCTTTTACATTGACTGTATATTTGTCCTTCTAATATTTATGCTGATTTTAAATAGAAAATGAGAAGGTTATAAGACATCTTGACAAAATAGCAAGTATTCTAGAAAGAAGAATGTTCCCAAAGTGTATACATGCTATACTTTTTTGTTGCTTTTTCTGTATTGGAAACTGCATTTGGGAAGATTATTTAGTATTTATTTAGTATTTTATTGGTGCTAAGCACAGTGCTAAGGAATGGGAGTTCCAAAAATGGAACTGTTTTAAAGATGAGTCCTTATCCTGGAGAGCTCACCATCCAATACAAAGACAGGATTTAGTAATAGCAGTGCTTCCTCAGTACCACCCAGAGCGCTTGATATATGTTTTAGTTTAAGCCACATAACAAGTTGGAGGTAGGTTCTATTTCTTGTTCCATTTTATAGATTAGAAAATGGAGGCATAAAGAGATTTTAAAATTTGGCCAAGTCGCACAGCTAATATCAGAGCTGGATTGGAATGCACACACTCAGTCACCAGAGCTCCTGGGGCATTCACCCCAGAGTTATACATTTCAATCAGTATGATAGAGAAATGAGCAACATGCTGAGCAAGCCAACTACACAGGGCATCTGGGAAGGCTTCACAGAGGAGGTGACATTTACCCAGAATGTTCACATTGGTGTGGAAGTTGAAGTTAAAAGATTTAAAGGTCAAGGACAGATGGGAAAGAGGCCCAGGATGGAGAATGGTGGCAGGACTATGTGATAAGCATGTGAGTCATCTGGAGAAATACAGATGGATGGATGAGTCAGGGAGGTTGGTTAGGATGAGCTGGCCGTGCTTTCAAGGAGTTCAGCACCAGTGCGTTCGCTAGGTGGAAAGCCGCAGTGTGCCTGACTTTTGGCTGAAAATGAACCAGAAACCAAGAGTCCCCAGCTTGTGTGTGTTGGGTCTTCTGCCATGTCCGCTCCACATCCCGTGTTTAAATCAGTGGCCTTATTTGCTTCCCTTGATGCCTTTTCAAATAAATCCACCTGTGTGTGTGTCTGCTGAAATGAAGTGACTGATCACGTTTTTAAATGAAATCCTCTTTGAATGAGAAAATGTTAAACCCAATAAGCAAATATAGCTTAATTACCAAATATTCATATTCTCTCCAAGGCCCACAAAGTCAACTTTACCCATGATGGCAGAGTCAGAAGTACTTCTCAAGAACCAGGGCTGGATATGCTAATTATCTAACTCCCACTCCTTATTATCTTAAATGTGTCTTGGTTTATCACAAGTATCTCTCTTAGGAGCTGAATCCAGATTATAAAGCAGGGTGGAAGAGAAGATGACAGTATGTTATTTACACCAAGCATTTCCTTGGATCCAGTAGATAGCAAAGTGAACAATGTAATTTGCTCTGTCTATATGATATTATAATGACTTTAGTCTCATAGGGGTGTGGAAGTATTGCCGTATTTATTTTTTATGTTGTCTGGAGAAATGTGCCCACGTCAATAAACAAACTTTGATTTTCATATGAGGTAGAGAAGAATATTCTTTTACAGTGTAAATACCCACATTTTCATATGATCCATTTCATTTCCAACACCCCTAAATTTGTGGAGTTTATAGAATAGGGAGGAGACATGAAGGCAATAATGCATAAAGACAGGAGGCACAGTCTAAGTATAGCTGTGTGTGGGATCATAAAACAACAATCCTGAGCCAAAAGTATTTGGAAATTCTTACAATAAGCGTTATAATAACGGTGTATGAAGACAGCAAATAAAATAAATGAGCACTATTAAAATGTAGCGTTAACTTTGAAATATTATGATTACTGGGAATTCTCATAAAGGCAATTTACCCTTTTATCATTGCGTGGAGCAGAAAAGAGTATGGGTTTTTTGATATGTTTGTAATGATAATGATTTAAAGCCAGCATTGTACTGTGTTTTTGTTCAGCAGAAACAGATCAATCCACCCAAGAACTTGTCACAACTAAGATTCCACAATCAACTGAATTGGCAAAGACAACTCGGGGTAATGCTGTTTCCCCACCTCTGGAATGTAATCTTCCCTTTTTTGTTTTTAATCAGGGAAGACATTTTCTTTTCAGAATGTAATTTTTCATCAAGTAAGTTAATTGATGTTTTTCATTTCATAAGTTCAGGACATCAGCGAAATATGAATATTCATATGACTATCAGTTGTATGTAGAGAAGACAAGTTTTTTAGTTAAGAGATTTGCTTTTGAATGTATAGTTGTCCACTTAATGCTGACAACTAAGAGTGAAAGCTCCTGTTTTTTTTCCTTGCTTGGCCTTCATTTGCCTCATTTTCTACTTCTGGTAAGTAGTAGGTGGAATTTTCTACTTCTACCCTAGTTGATGGATACAGTGATATTGTGGCCTGAAGAAGGAAACCAGTAACAAGAAAAAAAAATATTTTTAAAGGTGACTTAATATTAAACATCCAGGAAGGTTTTCTCTAGAATTTCCTACTTTTATTTCTTCCTTCCTACTTTTTGGGAGCTAAACTTACTGATACAATCTTTGTGATCTCAGAAGTCTTTGCTTTTTGTGTTTTTATGTTTTTCTATACTACTTGGTTTATAATCAGTTGTGGATTTACAGTTTTTTCAAGTTTTCTTATTTATCTAAATTACTCCTTTTCCCCATTTCCCCCTTTTTTATATATAAAGCCTAAAAAGCTTTAAGGAGTTGGGGGACAAAATTACTCATTGTTCAGTTATAATTTGGAGGAGAAATTTGGTGAAAGAAAATTGAAGTAATAGGAAATGATTATAAAGAAAATTAATTTTAAGGTGTATGTTTTATAGCAGATGAGCAGTACTTATTCTAAATGAGCATGACAGAAAACACTGGCATATGACAGTCTGAAATTTTCAAAATTTTACTTTTTTGGTTTAATTTCTCATTTTTTTTAATTGAAATAAAGTTGACACACAATATTATATTGGTTTCAAGTATATAACATAAGGTTTCAATAGTTACACATGTTATTAAATCCTCACCCCAGCTAGTACAGTTTCTGTTGTATAGTATCTGTGTACTAAGTAGTACATACAAAGATGTTACAGAACCATTGGCTATATTCTCCAGGCTGCACTTCCAACCCCATGACCACCTTATGTTATGATTGAGAATTTTGTGCCTTTTTATCCCCTTCACCCTTCCCATCCACCCATCCCAACCCCTCCTCCATTGTAACCATCAATCACTTTTCAGTGTCTCTGAGTCACAACTAAGATTCCACAATCAACTGAATTGGCAAAGACAACTCGGGGTAATGCTGTTTCCCCACCTCTGGAATGTAATCTTCCCTTCTTTGTTTTTAATCAGGGAAGACATTTTCTTTTCAGAATGTAATTTTTCATCAAGTAAGTTAATTGATGTTTTTCATTTCATAAGTTCAGGACATCAGCGAAATACGAATATTCATATGACTATCAGTTGTATGTAGAGAAGACAAGTTTTTTAGTTAAGAGATTTGCTTTTGAATGTATAGTTGTCCACTTTTTTGTCCATTTTTTGTTTTGTTTTTGGATTCCACAAATTATATGGTATTTATCTTTCTCCTCCTGGCTTATTTCACTTAGCATAATACCCTCTAGGTCCATCCAGTTGTCACAAATGGCAGGATTTCTTTTTTATGGCTGAATAATATTCCATTATGTATATGTACCGCCTCTTCTTTTTCCATTCATCTATTGGTGGACACTTAGGTTGATTCCATATCTTGGCTATTGTAAATAATGTGGTGATAAGCATAAGGGTGCATATTCTTTCCAAATCAGGGATTTTGTTTTCTTTGGGTAAATTTCTAGAAGTGGAATTACTGTGTCATATGGTATTTCTATTTTTAGTTTTTTGAGGAGCCTGCATACTGCTTTCCACAGTGAATGTACCAATTCTCATCCATAGTGTAGGGAAGTTCCTTTTTTTCCACATTCTTGCCAACACTTGTTATTTCTTGTCTTTTGGATAGTGGCCATTCAAACTGGTGTGAGATGATACCTTATTGTGGTTTTGATTTACATTTCCCTGCTGATTAGCAATATGGAAATATTTTCCTATACTGTAGGTTGCCTTTTTGTTCTGTTGATGATGTCCTTTGCTGTATAGTTTATGTAGTCCATCTTCATTTTTATTTTGTTTCCCTTGCCCATGATAGTATCCAGAAAATAATTGCTCATGCTTATTATGTTCAAGAGATTTTTTGCCTATGTTTTCTTCTAAGAGTTTTATGGTTTCATGTCTTATATTTAGGTCTTTAATCTATTTTTAATTTACTTTTATGTATGGAGTTAGACAGCAATCCAATTTTATTCTCCCGCATGTAGCTGTCCAGTTTTCCCAACACCAGTTATTGAAAAGATTGTCTTTTCCCCACTGTATATTCACGAATCCTTTATCATATATTAATTGACCATATATGCATAGGTTTATTTCTGGGTTCTCTTCTGATCCATTGATCTATGGGTCTGTTCTTGTGCCAGTACCATATATAAGTTTTTACATAGCTTAAAGTCAGGAAGTGTGATGCCCCCAGCTTTGTTCTTTATTCTCAGGATTGCTTTGGGAATTTGTGGTCTTCTGTTGTTCCATGTGAATTTTAGGATTATTTGCTCTAGTTCATTGCAAAATGTTATTTGTATTTTGATAGGGACTGCGTTGAATCTGTAAATTGCTCTAAGCAAGATGACCATTTTGACAATATTAATTCTTCCTGTCCATGAACATGGGATAGATTTCTATTTATTGCTGTCTTTAATTTCTGTCATGAGCATCTTACAGTTTTCAGAGTACAGGCTTTCACCTCCTTTGTTTAGTTTATTCCTAGATATTATATTCTTTTTGATGCACTTATAAATGAAGTTATTTTCCTGACTTCTTGTTCTGTTAGGTTGTCGTTAGCACATAGGAATTCAACAAATTTCTGGGCATTAATTTTATATCCTGCATCTTTGCTGAGTCCAGTTATTAGTTCTAATAGCTTTCTGATGAAGTCTTTAGGGTTTTCTATATATAGTATCATTTCTTCTGCAAATAGTGACACTTTTATTTCTTCCTTACCAATTTGGATGCCTTGTCTGATTGCTGTGTATAGGACTTCCTTTTCATTATGTTTTCAATGTTTATTATGTACTTTATTACCTATTTGTTAACTTTTTATTTAGTTATAAATCTACACAGAAGAAGCCCTATATAATGACAGCCCTCCCACATCCTCATTGCCAGCTTCAACCATTAACAGCAGATGTTCATACTCCATCCTCATTTTATGTGTTTATTTTTTTTGTGTTTTTGCAAGCTTCTTCAATGTCTGACTTAGTAAAAGATAGCTGGATTTTCATAGTACAACACATTATGTTTAGCAGCAAAACAGTAGCAGCAGAAAGACTATTTAGCTCAGGTTGTGTTGCCAAATGAGAAAAGGATTTCAGCTTTTTAGAGCTTTATTGATTGAAGAATTGATGATAAGATCTTTGGCCTATTCTTTCCTTGCTTTTCCTTTTGCTTAAATAGGAACATCAGTAGCAAGTCACCGTTACTAGTGTATGTGGAATTTTTATCAAATTCCTTCTAGAACATGGTTTTATTAGTTAGGAGTCTCACAAGTTATTGGCTATATATCTAGCATCTGATATCATTATATGAAATGTACTATATTTTAATTATTTTCTTATGTTCTGAGGATGTTAGCTTAAGCATGAACCATGGTGGCCTAGGATTCATACTTTTCTTGGCTTGTCCCAAGGTTCTCTAGAGTGTACTCACAGGGATTCATTTGTATGAGATGACAAAAAATATCCCAGGATAGAACCCATTGTGAACATGAGAGTATCCACAACGTGGCCCAACCCAAAACACCCTGCTTAGGAGTAGATGGTCAACTTTAGTAGTGAGGACATGCTATGTGTCCCAGAATCACCCTCATAAGCATGTGCCTGAGCTCTGTGGAAGGAGGTCAATCAACTATTACATTTTTATTTTGTGTATATCTGTGTTTTTAACATCAAAGCTTAGGAGCACCAGATAGCACACAGCAACTTAAAAGAAATGCTGTAGGAATGAAGTTGTTCCTTTCTGCCCATGAATATAGCATGACCCCTGTGGCTTTTTGGTCTCCAAGCCCTTGTGGAGCCCAAGTGCTCCAAAGAAGCAGTGCCTGAACTACCTAAGACCTACAGCATGAACCTGCTAGCAGAATCTCCAACACCTTTTCTCTGTGGCAACTTCATTCCTGTATCTACTGAGGCAGTTCCCTGCAACACAGTAGAATCAAAACCCTGAAATATTCAAGCTCTCCTCCTTTGCCCTATCTCAACCTATAATAGAAATCTGCTTGATCAGAGGCTCTTTGGGGGGCATTTTGATTATTTTACTTATTTCAGCCCTTGAACCCTACCTCACCCCAAGGAAAGTTATATTCTCCTTCCCCTATCCCCTATCCCCCTATGTACTGGGCAGAACATGGGTCCTTCAGGGTGTTTCTTCTATAATCTCTGTTTGTTTTCAATGTTTAGTATTTTTAATGCTCTTCTTGAACAGATTTTTATTAAACTATTTAGATATGAAGCCATCTTTTAAAATTATTTTTATTATTAGTCACTAAAAACTATTCGGAGATGATGTTTATATAATTACATTCTCACCAAGTTCTTTTGTTCCTTTTTTTTTTTTAAGTTTAAAATTGAAACCCTAGAGCAGTTTTCTCAAGGCCATGTGTTATTTGGTGATGAGCTGTATATATGAGTAATTCACAGCCTAAACTTAAGTTACATTTCAGCTCTCTTATAAAAAGTTCTTTCTAGATTTAAGTAAAGAATGTAGGAAAAAAGATACTGTGAGCCTATGGCTTTGAAGTAATGCATGTAGTGCCAATTATTTCTGTTTTTGTTCTAGGAGTTTTGCTCTAATTCCCTTCCTGTATAAAGTTTAAAAATTTGTATTTGTTCTAGAATCATAGCCATGCTCCTTGTATTTCTTTAAAGCAATGTAACACTGAAGAAATTAACATGAAAAGTTGAAATAGACTAATAGGGTATTCTGCCACTCAAAGAAAATTGAAGAAAAACAGTTGCAAATCATCGTTACGAATTTTAGAGTGTAATGATAATTAATTTTGTATAACATCAGTACCTCTTCTCACTCTAGTTACTGCACTTTGAAAGGCCCACAATAAATCTACAGAGCATTTTTGTACGTGTCTGCTGTTTTTGGCTGGAAGTATGGCAAAATTCTGCTCATCAGTCTTCATGTTGGAAGCTTATAAATGAGCCACATTATAATCTGTTTTGCAGGTGTATTTTTTTTTAACTTGGTAGGCAAGGCATTGCTGATTTATGGTTATATAAACACCCACTCAGGATGTGAACCAAATCATCAAAACGATGTAATCTACTTACATAGTTTGCAAGAAAAATTTTTTCCAGCCTTAGCTAAAACATTACCAAGAGAGTTGGTGATAGGAGGTAGGGCGGTATGTCAAGGGGAGCAGAGGAGGGAAGGGAAGATGACGAATTCCAGGGGGAAGGTACACCTTAACAAGCAAACGTATTTCAGCTGAGTTCCTTATGAATTTGCCTGCTTATGGTGGTTGCTCATTTTTTAAATTTACTCAGTAAGTCTTCATTAGGAGTCCTCACTGTACCAGGCCCTGGATAACAGGAGCAGGAAGTGACAAGGCGGTGTGTGTGCCCCAGGGCTTGTCTGAGTTCTTGTTCCTTGCTCTCCCTCTCCTGATGGGCAGGGCACCAGAGGTAATTTTCTCTCATTCCTGAAGCTTTAATGGATGGCACAAAGTGAGTATTTATTCATTTGAGGCTTCATAAGCTAAGACAGTCTTTTTTCTAACCTACCTAAAAATATTTTTCTTTTTGCCTTTAAGATTATTTGTCTTCTTTGGCAAAATAATTTCCACAGTAACTCCCTAATTGAGAGATGTGGATGGGGCAGATGTATGGATGGATGGATAGATGATTAGTTGGCTTTATATATTTACCATGTTGAGCAGCCATCTTGTAAAACAAGTGCTCTTTGAAAACATAGCCAAAATGATGGGTAATCCTTAGTTCATAGTACAAATGATCTACCTCACTCTATGTGCGTTTTTAATTTCCAGCCATGAATATTTTCAGTTGCTCCATTTTCCTTTAGCATCAATGTTATAGTGCATACTTTGAGGTTTCAGAACGTTCTTTCTACTCCCATGCAAAGTATACAAGTCGTTGATTCGTTGATTCCTAGGGTGCTAAATCTCCATTTAGTGGGTTTTTGAATGTTGGGTATTAAATATGAAGCATTTCCTCTGTTTCAGCACCACACAGATTGTACACTAGTCCTGTGAGGCCCAGACTACCGGACAGACCACACATCAGACCTGGTAAGTTGTTTCTCTTTCTGGTAACCTAAATAGTCAGCACATCTGTGATGATATAAACTGTATGGAAGCAGCCAAATATGCTAAAGGAGGGATATATCTCCTTAAAATGCAATAAAGGACATACATAAATTCTGATCCTTGTGGATGAATGGAGAGTTAATAATGAATCCATGGCAGTGATCAAGACTTGACTGAGGTTTCTAAGGATGATCAGATTCTGAGACCAGTATGGACTTTATCAGTATAAAGGCATTTTTAGAATAGTGTTCTATCTCATATGCCTATGCTCCCTCACACACATACACACTTCTTCAATTTTCCATGGCAAAAAAATATTGAGATAGCATTAGAGTTAGCTATGACATACTACTTGCTTTCAGATATTATTTATCTATTAAGAAAAGATGGTCTCTTCCAGCAAAAAAAGATTTTTGTTTGAGAATATTTTTACTTGATTCCTTCTAATGATTTAAAAAAAACTCACATTTTTTACAGGTTGGAAACAGCAAAAGTAAAACGATAGTTAAACATTGGAAAATACTTGAAATTTATTAAATTTCCCAAAGGCTCTAAGACCTCCCTCACTGAGGCCTGTTAGAGAAAGTCAACTTGCTGGGTTTGGTTTGGTCTATGGATATCAGTTCTATGCTAAAGCACAAGTTGGACCTAAGACACTGATGTTTTCTACCCTTTCCAGCTGTGATTCTGTCTTTTTTGAAGTTTTAAATGGCTCATAAATTAATGTCGTTGGTGAACATCTCTCCAGGCACGTGGGAGAAAGAACAGATCATTTTCCTATCCTCTGGCTTATGGGGAACCCATATATTTTTACAGTATTCCTCCTACTCCTGAAGTTAATTGGGCAAAGACATCTTTTATAAACAAACACATCTCCATGTGACTTGAGTATCATGATAGCTGCTGAGAGCTTACTATGTGGCTGGTTACATTAAAGCTGTCTACAAAATGGTAACGATAGTGACTAACAAAGACTAAGGACTTGCTGTGTGTCCTGTGAGGTACTGTTGTGGAAGCTAAGGCAGGAGAAGAGCGAGAAAATAGATTCAAAGGCAAGCAGTCTGGCTCCAGAGCTGGTCTCCGAACCACAATACACTCGGTGCTTTTCCTTGAAGAGTCTTCTGAAAAGAGGATAAAAAAGTGATCCCTTACCTTGACGGTAATGCTATGGGTCCCCACACAACAGAAGAGAAATTACAACAGTTGCATCATATTTCTGTGTTCCACAATGAACTTGGGCCAGGATTCGGAGGGAACATCTGCAGCTAGAGAACCCTGCAAAAGAGCCACCAGCTTAGGAGTTATGAACTAAGACTTTGACAAATAAGTAACACTTCAAGTTTGGGTTTTCATTAAACACATGTGGTCCTGATCTTCAGTTCAGTTTTGGAATGTACATAGGATTATAAATGAAGTGAGATGGTTCCCTTTTAGAAATATAAATTCCCTTGCCAGTTTTTTTTCAAGCCTAGTGATCACCTCAGTGTACAAACTCAGGTCTCTAATTTGAATTTGAATTCCCAAATTCAAGTTTATGATTTTTTATACAAGAACTGTGGTTTCTATATTCTGAACATTTTTTGGTAAGCTATCAATTTTTATTTGGCTAGTTAAATGACTTCCAATTCTCTGGGGAGTTTTGTCTTCGTTGGCTGAAAAGTTTTAATAAAATGTGTAAACTCTTTATTTCTCACTTTATTGTAGTTCTGAATAAGACAACTACAAGACCTAGTAGACCCTAGCCCAGGGGACACCCAGATGGAATGGAATGGGAATAAGTAATCATCACAAATTTATGTCCTTTTTATCCTATCAGAACCATAAATGTTTTCATTTGGTTTTAATCATTCCTTTGAATTCACACTTCAATTTTTTTTTATCAGTTTGGAAGTGCTTAGTATAACTGGAATTGAAAATCGTAACTCATTCCAAAAACCAAAACTTCAAATGTCTCTGAAAAGATTAAAAAAGAATTTTTCACTTTTCTAAAGTCAATCCACTAAACCCGCTACCATATAAAGTCTTGATTCATAAAAAGACCCTGGATAAATATGAATTATTGAGTGAAAATACCAGAATAGTTGTTTTTCCCAATTTCAAAACACTTTTCATATACAGATTCTGAGATAGTATTCACCTGGTTTTCAAATTTATAATTTCACAAGTACCATTATAATTTTTTAGCAGACCTGTAGCTGTTAGCAATCTAGAATGTGATATTTAAACAAGAGAAATTAGCAGTTGATCACTTGGGTACAGTCATATTAATGTTTCTAAATCATTCAGCTTAACTGAATGACATGGCCCTAATCCAGTCATATCTGGGAAGTAAGAAGCATACAGATAATTGGGACAATGATCTGATAAAAGTTCAAACACCCAACTCAGCAAGTTGGATAAATAGTAGTTATCAGATGCCTTAATATGGGATCACATTGCCCCTTATAATATTTTTTAAAGAATACAAATCTTGTACTTTCTTCTATAAAAAAACATGAAAATAGAATTTAATCCATATGTATTTACTCAACCAATGATGGTCCCGTAATGAGAAAGAGATATGCATAACACCTGAAGATACTCAATTTAAAAATCATTTAGATGTGTTTTAGAATGTGTTTTTTGTATTAGGTTATTATAGTATCTAAAGTTCTAAGAATTCACTGCCCTTCAAACCCATTTATGATGCAATTACTATAAATCCCTCATTCATAAAAAGAAAGGAAGCATTCCAATATCTATTTGTGTCCAGCTACTCCTTTTATTCTTCCCAACTATGGGATTAAGCAATGCATAGTTTCTCAAATCTACATGAAGAACCTGGCTTTAAACAGAGCTACCTTCTTAATATTCAAAGTAATTCGCTAAAGTTTGTCTAAGTAAAAGTAGAGAGAGCATTGAAAAGCAAATGAAAGGACAGATTGCAATATCAAACTTGAAAGCTATTAACCTTCAGTAAAATCAAGCATTAATTCTCACTAGGAAAATGCTAATTGTCTTTCAGAGGAAAAACAGCATTATTCTAGTTCATCAGCAAAATAAATATTTTTTCCAAAGCCAATTGTAACACAAACTGACATCTTATGTGTAGATGGAGTCAATTTTGTAATAGTAACTCATCTAATTTAGCTTTGGAATGATCTCTTATCAAGGCTTCTTCAGTTTAATCAGTTGGTCCCTGGTAGAAATGGGCTGGTGGGCACAGGGAGACAAAGTTGAGCTCACTGTTTCTCCTTTTCTTGGTCACCTCCATTCCCAGACAAAATGTGTTGCTCCCATTCTATATTCTAATGTCTGTCTTTTTGGGACTCCCCATCAGGGAAGGACTTGCTGTCCAGCTGCAGGGAGTGAGGTCAGCAGACGGCATCCTGCTGTCAGTCCTTCAGGGTCAACCTCAGCTTGACATTGGTGATCTAGGTGGTACATTTCCAAATCTACCACAACAACATAACAACTAAATGATGTTTACCCAAGGAATGCAAGGTTGGCTTAACACTCAAACAAATTAGTGTAGTTCACTACATTAACAGAGAAAAGGACAAAAATTATACAATCATCTCAAGAAAGACAAAAAGAACCCATTAGACAAAATTCAAAATCCATTCATGGAGAAAACACTTAGAAAACTAGAAATAGAAGAAGATTTCCTCACTCTGATAGAAGACATCTGTGGAGAAACCTATAGTTAACATAACAGTTATTAACTTAAAGTCTAAATGTTTTTCTCCCAACATCAAGAACACAGCAAGGATTCCTACTTTTACCATTTCTGTTGAAAACAGTAGTAGAGTGTCTAACCAATACAAAAAGGCAAGAAAGGAAGTAAACATGAAGGTACAAAAATTTTCACTCACAGATGAAACTATGTAGCATAGTATGAAGGAAAGGAAGCCTTAATAGCTCTCAGACTATTTGCTTAGGGAATAAGGTTTTGAGAAATTGGTAAGAAAAAGTTTTAAAATCTGTTCTTTCCAGGTTATAGACTTATAAGAGTCTACTTTACTTTGATTCTGCACAGTTTTGATCTGGCTTGTTTACAGAAATACAGGTATTCATGTTAAGCTTTTCTTGGCTGGCACAGTCCCACTGTCTTGTCCACACTCACTACTAGCCTCTATTGAGTCTTAGTGAAACACCATTTCTGTGTCAACTGATTCCTTATCCAATCCAATTTTGACATCTTGCTAAGAATATTTCTCTTTATTTTCCTATAGTTTTTCTGTATTGTTTTTACTTTTTCAGCTCAGATACCTTACATTAAAACAGTTGATAAAGGAAGTATTTAGGATTTATAGGACATATTCATGGTCTTAGGCAACTTAGTGCTCCCAGAAGATGGAAAAAGAGATTCTGAGGCCCCCAAATGATGGATTTTTTAAATTATTTGGGCCTATAAAAATCTTGCAGTGATTTCATAGACTCCAGGAATCAACTATCCTGATCCAAGTTTCTTACTTCATAACATCACCACAGATATCTACCCTGTTCTATATGCATTTCATACCTGTATGTGTAAGTATTCCTCACCTCAAAGTTTGAAAGCAGCCTGCAGAGGCTAAGGTTTTAGGTAGGTCATTTTTCCAGCACTCTGCTTTCTCAAGTTTTCCAGATATGTGTCTCAGTTTGACTAATATGTTGTACGTATTACAATCAACTTGAGATATGACTCCAGAGATGTAACAAGCATGCACTAGACCAGGGAGTTGTACAAACTGCAGTCCCTCAGGTCAAATCCAGCTCACTGCCTATTTTTGTTAAGTAAAGGTCTTTTTTGAAACATGTCTTGCTTTCACAATACAGAGACAGAGTTGAATGATTGTGACAGAGACAGTATGGCCCGCAAAACTGCGACTGCCTAACCCATGACAGAAAAATTTAGCTGAGCCTGTGCTAGATAATTTCTCCAACTTCCTCCCTGTATAAGGGAGCTGTGCAGCTATTATTCTTTCATTGAACCAACATTTATTGAAATGTAATTTGGAAATCACTTTGGCACATTGTGGCTTGGCAGATATGTTAAATACCTGAACCCCAGACTCCATTCTCTGCATCCTAGTGAGGAATCCACACTTTACTGCCCCCATAGGGAGTGTGCTTGACAACCAGAACCCAGAAGACTCTTCCCAGGTGAGGAATGTATTTTTCTGGGCTGTGGCTAAATTTTCCAGTCTGCTGGCTCATCACTCCTGACTTTTGAGCCAGGTGCTAAGATTTGGAGACAAAGGGCATAGAGACCAGTCATCCATAAATACCACCCTTTTTTGGTCACAGGGAATAATCTCTAAAACATTTGGAAATTGATTTCCAGTTTCACTGTGTGTGTTTGCAAACTTTTTGTTGCCATGGTTAAAAATACCCAAATTCTATTTCATTTTCAACAATAAAATGCCAAAAGAGGTGAACTATGTAAATCCAGAGGTCTGGGGAGAACTCTCATATGGAAATTGGGGGCTCATGCTGAAGCTGGCTTGGTGCTTCGAGAGCAAACTATACCCTTTAGAAAATATGTTGATTAATCCTACCTAAGGGAAAAAGAATGCAGGTCACAGCCTGGACCAGGCTGATTAGGTGCCAATTCCTGAGAATTTTTTTCTCTGCAGTATCTCCCCTCCTGGCTTCCTCCTTTGCATTCCCATTGCCTCACTGCTACCCTTGGCCTTCATTTGCTCTCCAGTGATTCAGAGCAACAGAAGTTCACTGGTGTCCTGGCTCTGATGCTCACATTGCTGCCTGGCTGATGTGCAAACCACAGCGAAGTGAAGGCAAAACCAGACCCAGGGTTCAGACTCCTGTCTTCAGTCCAAGGCTCTTTCCCTGAGCCTCTGCAGAGCTCTTACCAACTTTTTTATATCTCACCAACTTTTAACTGTTTCTAAAGGCTGGAGAAAGTCCAGTTTAGTGGCTCTTTAATTTGGGTACTTACACTTAAGGATCATAACAATATGATGCTTCTCTTTCTACCTATACAGAAAGTGACAGAAAATGGCTAGTTTCTTCTGATTTCTTTTTTAATTAGAAAAGAAGCCAGGGTAATTTATCTTTGGTCTTAAAGTATCTTGCAAATCTGGGTTCTCTCCTGTATCTCCAGCCCCCGGCCCTTGTGGCTTGGTGGATCTGCACGTGCCTAGTCAGGGATGGCTGTCAGCCTTGTAGTGGCAAGTGGGGATGATGCGTGCTTGCCAGCCGTGGCCATTTAACCCTCCCATAGAGGTCACACCTCAAATCACCCAAAAGGCAGAGTATAGAACTCAGGGCTAAAGTCGCTTAAAGTCACTGTGAGGAATAAGAGAAAGAAGACAACGGCAGGAGAAGACAGTGCTCTGTGCCATGCCACTGAGTGCTTGAGAGAGGCTGGAGCTGGGCATATGTGGTCTCAATCCCAGCGCTTCCTAGCTGTGTTGCTTGATCTCTCTGTGCCATGAGTTTCCTCATCTGTGGAACCTGGGTGGTGTCTCCCACACAGAAGCATTGTAAGGATCAAATCAGGAAATCAGGTAATGAATATGAAAGGTGCTGCATAGTACTGGATCAAAATACTTTGTTTTCTTAAGGGTAGAGAGATCTGAGGAAAGGCTCCGAGGAAGGATCTCCTAAAGGCACAGAGAGTCTACCGGCCTTCTAGAGTACATAACACATTTTTTTAAACTCAAAAAATAGTGGTAAATTAGTCTCCCTGTTATCCCTGTGACACAGTGAGAGTATTTTTCATTCCCCTATGCCATGCACATTGTAACCACTGGGATGAATCATTTCTCTGGCCCTGTTACCACTGACAGTGGGGCACAAGAAGAGGACTAATGAACCATGTGTTTATACCATGCCAGTGGGATTCCCACAAAATAGTTATTGCCCCCTGAAATGTTTTTTTTCCTACCACAAATAAACAACATTTAATTGATGGATCCATACAAACATTCTCTGTGATTTTGTATATTATCTCTTATTCAAGCAGCAGATAGTATAGGATGGCAGTATTAGGATTCATAAATTAATGTTAATTACTATAATTATAATGTTAATAATTATAACAATGCTAATAATTATGTTAATTTGTAATATTAATTATAATTAATTTCATAAGTTAATGTGGGAATATCTAATATTTGGCAAACAAAACATCTGTTGTAAATTTAATCAATATATATGCCTGCACATTAAATGAGTTTGTGTGTAATGTTCCTACACCGTCCCTGGAATACAGTGAGTGCTCAAAACAGAGCTGAGGTTTTGGTAATTATTGTTAATGTACAAACTAGTATCTTAATTAAACATGTTATTATTTTTCAATATGTGAATTATAGTGGGATCTTCAAAGTGTGAATCCTTTTTGGGGGATGAGCCATTATATAAGGGGTGATATTTTCTGTTTAGATTCTAAAATCATCTTTGTGTTATTTCCTAATGGTGACTGTCAGCCACATCAGAGATTATTTTATAATGTAAAAGAATAACACTTTTAAAATAGGATGAAATCTAAATTTGTTTTCCCACTCCTTCGGACAGATACCCAAAATCAAAACATAGATACCCAAAATCAACACATTTGTTCTTAAATAAATGGCTGGGTAAAAATCCCCAGTTTGAGTTTGAGAGACTCCAGACATAGAACATCACACAAAGTAATTTGCAGATTCGTTTCTTCCAAACAGCAGCTTGGAGTTCTAGGCCTGCCCAGGACTAATTTACAAATCTCAAAGGTACACAGCCAGTTTGTGGCCTAACAGCCTGATACCCAAACCCTCTCCAGGGGAAATTGTAGTCAATTCATAATGTGCAAATCCAAACACAATGGAATTTTAAGGTCTTTTTATGGGAGTAGAAAGGTTGGAGGAAAATTTTAACCACAAAATGTACACATGAAAACTGGCAAAAAATGGTCAATTGCCAAAGATGAAATTTGCCTTCTGAGGCAATACTGCTCAGAAAGGCAGTGCAGGGTGGACATGGTGGCAAATTAAGATGAAACCACAATCCACAATCAAATACCAACTCTTCAGGGAAACTCTCAACTAATAAATACAAGGCTCTAAATTTTTCCTGTAAACAGACAGGAGAAACCAATTAAATGTCACGGCACAAGAACACCAGTGTCTCTGCTCTGCAAAGAGTGCATCTGAACACTGACAACTCTACCAAGTTTCTGTGATGAAGAACCTTTAGCACATTTCTGCTATATATTTATTCCATTTCATTATATCTGCTTGTAGGGCTTAAGCAAACACCAAAGCCACCAGGTGCTGTGTCAGTGGACTCGACCCATGTAACAAAAAAACCAGGTAAGGGATAAGATGCTGACTCTTACTCAGCTCTGCAGTTTGGGCAGTAACTGTAGTATCATTTGTTGCAGCAGAAACAGCCCCCACATAGCCTCCAAAACATCAGAACTATGCTAAGAGTACATGGGCGTGGCTAGAGAAGCATCCCAAAATATATTTGAAGGAATGAAAAGTGCTCTGTGTATAAATTAAATATTAATAAGAATCTCTAATGGGGTACCAATTTAATAATTATTGCTTTGTATAATGTTCAAAGGGGCACTGGAGACATACTGGAGTCACCGTGGGTTCTAGTTTCCATTAGGTTCGAGTTTTGTTCTTGTGTAATCTGTTACAATATCCTTTTGCCTGATATGATTTACATTCCTAATTTAAGACTATGCTTTATACAAAGGCCAAAATTATTAAGCTGGTGACTTGGAGTATCTTTGCAATGAATAAGAACTCTGCTTTTTGAAACAATGCCGTGAAACCTACTCTGTTGTAATAGTGTCTGGGCTACAGATAAGTGTCCTACCACCACTCACAGCCCTCCCTGCAGGCGCACTGCACAGGCATATACTAACTTCCTACTATCTCGGCAAGTACTTAAAGCCAGAGGCATTTTCCAAGTTAGTTTTACTTGAACATTTTTAAATCAACATATATTATGCAAAAAAAGCTGGAACACAAGACTTAAAATTTGGGTTAAGGTAGACTGCTCCAGGCACCTCCCACCTTGTCAGCCTTTAAGTATCATAGACATGTTTTTACAATTTATAAAAGGTGCCTTTTCCCTTCCACCCTTTAGGCAGAGCCTTTAGAAAAATGTATCCTTCCTTTGGGTTAGCAGCCTTGCTCCAGGGCTCTTGGGTGAATGAGCAGAGCACTTGTTAAAATGTGGCTCCCACTTTCCTGGCCTGGCCAGGCACCCTGTGCAGTGCCCAGAGTTCTTGGTGACCCTGCTCTCCACAGGCGTAGCTCATTGCTTCAGGGCTACTTCTTTGTGATCATTTGAGAAGGTCTCTAAGTGTTTACCTATAATCATATAATAGATTTGGGGGATGGGACAATGAACCCACTGAAGGAGAAATTATATACTTTAACAATTTAAAGCTAAAATGGTGTAAGAAATTGCAGTCTCAAAATCGAAGGCAACTGGGGATAATGAAGCTCAGAAATGCTAGTTGAGAATGTATGAGAAACAAAAGGATGTTAAATTCTATCATCTATACAGCCTCTCAAAAGGCAGGTACACCTGTATATTTTTATCTGTATTTACAGGATATTTTTCCATACATGAGTGTGCTTCATTATCCCAGGGCACATTACCAACATTAATTTAGAGGAGTATCAGAATATAGTACTCATAGGCACATTTCTGAAGAATCTATTCTCCATCATCCAACTGCTATTTATCAAATATTGTATTTTTAAAAACCTGAGGTGTTTATAGAGGGAATCCTTGTGACAACTTTATCTGTAATATAATCTCTTAGCCACAGTCCCAGGTACTCGTCGCCCGCCTTTGCCACCCAGACTCTCGCCCCCACGAAGGAAACCTTTACCACCAAATAATGTCACCGGCAAGCCAGGGAGTGCAGGTATGTCAATCATTCCCTTCCTTCTTCCTCTGTGACTTCAGTTTTACTAGCCAACCACAAGCCCTCCTTGGTGCACTAGCTCAGGCAACAGGCAAGTGCTTGGTGTGTGTGACACGTGCCTGTGTTGGCCCCAAAGACCAGGCATGCAAATTACAGCTTTGCGGACCTACATTCTGCTTCTGGGTGGGTGGGGTGAGAAACCATCCCTGTGCATCTAGGCCAGTTTGCACCTTAAATATTGGAAGACAGAATCTGACTGAGGCCTTTCAACAATCAGATTAATTTGGATGAGATGTTGTGTGTTGACACCAGGGGTCATGAATAATGTGATGCCCACTTATCATTGTCTCCTGACATGAAATCTTATACATCTCACTGAAAGCTCCCCTGTCCAGCAGCCATCATGCTGGCCCCAGTATTACAGTTCAGGGGAAGGACTGAGGACTAAAATATTAACAGCTTTAGCCTGTGCAACAGGGCAGGAATATATTTGGGAAATCAGGCTTCCTCTCACCTCTGTGCCTTGGCACGTATTGCCTCCTTCCCACGAAAATGACCTCTCCCACTCACCTGGATACTCACACTTCTTCTTCTTCCAGAAAGCCTTCTCTAGTGCCCCAAGTAGAATTAGCACTGCTTCCCCATTCTGCTTGTCCTTGACACATTCCTCTGTTAGAGCCAAGAGCAAACTGGCTTACGCCTGTTTGTTCACACCTGTGTTCCTCTACTAGACTAGGAGCTCTCGGGTGACAGAGTCTGGCACATTTTCTCTGAATTCCCATCACCAAATCCAGTGCTTGTCACCTAGAGGATATTTGATAAGTTATTAGCTGAGTGAACAACTGAGTTAAATTAAGAATCAGTGAAAACTGACCTAGTTCAGAGCAAAGCTTTACCTTATTTCTCTTAAGGGTTCTTCCCCGGGACCTGCCAGCAACCCACAGTATGTTCCCCATCTTCCCTCCCTCTCCCCCCATCACTACTTCCTAAATATTTTGTAGGTGAAATAGGATGATTGCTAAAGACAGCTGTACACGATGAAACTGAGGAGGGGTCACTTGGAAGGGAATGGGGGTCACTCCTGGCACGGGATGAAAGGAGGGCAGGGTGATGGAGGAGCTGTCAGGATGCACCCTGTGCACAATGAACGCTCATCATTCGTCCAATCAGCTGAAGGAGAAACCAGCCCCGTCCACACCTCTGATGCCTTCCTGAGTCAAGGCACAGGGACATGACCCCAGGGAGGAGACCAGGCTTTCCTCCTCAATTGTAACGTGGGGCAGCTGTGACTTACACTCCAGCATGATTCAAGTCAGACTGGATGAGTCGCAGACTGAAAGTGATGCCTGGGTGTCCCCCGTGGAAAACCCGGGGGAAGCCTCTGCAGAGCAGCCCTCTGAAGCTGTGTGTCTTCAGCTGCAGCTCCGTGGTGGCCTGTGTTTCCATCATAGAAAACCCTTGTTCTTGCCCATCAGTAAGTCAACTTTAGCACAGCCCATCCATCCCCAAGACAGCTATAAACACCTTCCACTTCAAGATTAACTCAGGCCCCCTTCCCCACTTTTGCTGTCCACCTCTAACTCAGAGGAAATGGCTACTCTAAGGAACCATTGTACAGATTTGGCCTGATTAGTAAAAGAAAGTGTTTCCTGAATTCAGACAATCAACCGGATATTCTGGGAGTCCTCCAAACTCGTCTTCTCTCGCAAGTGCCTGCGGGCACAGTCATGGGCGACCATGTGGCATCTGCCACCTGTCCCTCATCTCCAGGGCTACTGCAGCCTCTGAGTCCCACTTTCCTTGCCAGAGGGCAAGTGCCCTGCCAGCATTCCCTTCCAGCTCAGCCAACCGCAAAGCTCGGGGGGACCGCAGGGCAGCTGGGCTTGGCTTCCACTCAACTCATCCCTGGGGCTCAGCAGCCCATCTGGGTGGCTCCCCGTGATTCTGCACCGGGCCATGGTCCTTGGGTCAGCCTTGTTTCCCTCCACTCTCTCTTTCCCTAGGATAATTCCTTTTCCCAGGAGGACATCAAATCCATTCTAGCCTTCACTCTGTTCTCAGCACCCAAACTTGCCTGGACCTTGGGATGGATCTCATTTTGGAGACCTCTAGGTGTTTTTAGACAGAAGGAGACACTATTGACTATATCTCAGGGTGGCACTCTTCTGGCTAATAGGCCAGAATCACAGATGTTACACTAGGAATCTTTTTCACTCTCCAGCCATCTCTCATGCCTGCCAGTTAATCTCCATGTCAGGCCATCCCAACTCCTTCACACCCCTCAAGTAAACAAACCCCTTCCATCCAGTCTCGCTGCTGCTTAGTAGTTCACCTCCTCCACCCTTGTGAACACAACTGCTGTCATCTCTTGACCTCTCTCTGCCACCAGCCATGCATCCTAACCATTCATCCTCTTTACATCTCATCTGGTTACTTCCCTAGTGAAAATCTTTTAGTGGGTCCTTGCTGCCCCTCATGAGCTGCCCCTCCCTGCCCCTCTGCCCTCAGCTCACACTGCTCCCTGGAGCACTGGTGGCTCTCACCCCTTCAAATCAAACACCCCAAGTAGTCTCATGCTTCCCTGGCATGGTTCTTCCTGCAGCCTGGGACTGAAAGACAGCTCTCATTCCTCCCTACTGATCACCTCTCTTCTTTATGGCACAACCTCTGTGAAGACATTCCTATGCTTCCCTGACCCAAAAAACCCCTCATCTTTCCCCATAAACATTCCTACTCTCCCTCCTTAACCTTCTCTGTGATTGTCTCCAGTTTTTTCACCATACCTACAATGCTTCAGTATATTTGGCTCACACATCTATCTCAGTCAAGGGTATCAGGGCTTATTTTCTTTCTGAGCCTGGAATATAATGTGCCAAGCTACATGGTAGGTGCTGAATAAATATTTATTGAATAAGTAAATGGGAAGTTGGCAGCGCTCCTATAAAGCCTGACCACTTGGGCTCTACATTACAGGAATCGTTCCATCAGGCCGAGCGACTTCCCCTCCTTTGAGGGCAATGCTCAGACCGACCGAAGCCCCCTCGGAGAGAATAGAGACAGATAAGAAGCAACCAACGGTTCCTGCCTCGGGAGAAGACCTTGGTTAGTATGTCAGGCACTTCCCATTGGATGCTTACGAACGAAGTACTGTGAGATTTCAAATTAAGGGGAAAAGAGTCTCAGTTCTGGATCATTTATTTTATTCCAATTTATGACTAATATGAGTCTTAAATTTTAAAATTATATTTAATGCTTTGTTATAGAATATGCTCTTTCTCCTCACAGACATAGAAGAAAGTTCTCGTGCTTTTAAGGAAAGTCTTCCCGAAAAGAGATTATCCAATGCTTCTTACTAAATCATATGTCATCACTAATTACATATATATTAATTAATTAATATGAACTACTTGGTTGTAATCTTTAAGTCATTATTTATTTTAGTCCAAGACATTTAAAGGCCTTTTCTTGTGACATGTACAATAATAATAATAAAAAATAATAATGGAAATCAGTGTTGGAAGCAATTGACTAGAAGGTACATTAAATATACTGTTTACTGTCTTTTTATTGTACTGTGAGGCATTTTTATCTTTTGTCCAAATTGTTTATTATCTTCCATTCTCAGGTAATACAACTGACTTTAGCTCAAGTCCAACAAGGGAAACTGATCCTCTTGGGAAGCCCAGATTCAAAGGTATGTGTGATCTCAATTTTGACAAGGCCATCTTTGGTCGGTGTGTCAGTCAGCTGTTGCTGTGCAGTAAACAACCACAAAATCTTAGCAGCATAATATAGTAAGGATTTATTTCTCATGTGTCAGCAAGTCACCAGAGGGTCAGCTGATCTAGGATGTGCTCAGCTGGTGGTTCTGCTTCTATGAGCAGGTGTCGATGAGCCTCTTAGAGGTGGGCTCCGGTCTGTTCATTCTGGTGCCCAGGATGAAGGACCAACAGTGACCCAGGAGAAGCCATTCTCGTGGCAGTGCAGTCAAGAGACAGAAGTCCAAATACCCAATTGTATTTCAAGCTCCTTCTGTTGTTACACCTGTTAGTATCCATTGACCAAAGAAAGTCACATAGCAGAACTCAAATCAAGGATTGGAAAAATCTAATTCTTTCATGGCTATAGAGAACATGTTTGGACAGTAATCTACTCTACCACCTCTACCACAGTACAGGAGATATAATATGATGTAGAGCCCAATATTTCCTTTTGTAATTTTTTTCTGAAGTATCAAATTTGATAAATTTTAACATATGTATACACCCATCAAACCATTGTCACAATCAAGATAATGAATTCATGCACCACCTTCAAATGTTTTTATCGTGTACCTTTGCAATCCCTCCTTCTCACTCTTCCCACCCAATCTCTAGTCCCTAGGTACCCACAGATCTGCTATATTATAGATTAGTATGCATTTTGTGGAATTTTATATAAATGAAAAAATACAGTATGATGTTTTTTTTTTTTGGTTTGGTTTCTTTTAGTCAGAATAATTATTTAGAGATTCATCCATGTTCTACATACCAAAAAGTCTATTTCTTTTTATGCTGACTACTGTTCTGTTGTATGGACATATAATGTTAATAATTATTTATTAAACACATACTAATGTTGATAATTATTTATTAAAACCATTCATTTGGGTTGTTTGTAATTTTTTTTACATTACAAATAAAGCTACTATGACCTAAATTACTTAGGATTATAATAAACTCCTGATGAATTGATCCTTTATCATTATGAAATGACCTTTTCTATTTATGGTAATATTCTTGTAAACGTAATTTGTTGATTTTGTATATCCACTCAAGCTTTCTTTTGATAAGTATTATCATGGTATCTCTTCTTTTTATCCTTTCAGTGTTAATGTATTCATCTCTGTATTATTTAAACCGAGTTTTTATAGGCATCATGTAGTTGGGTCTTGTTTTTTTATCCATTCTAACAGTCACTGCATTTTATTTTGGGTGTTTAGAACCTTACTTTTAACATGACTAATGATATGGTTTGCTTTAAATATATCATCACCTTGCTATTTGTTTCTATTTGTCCAATCTATTCTTTGTTCCCTCTTTTTTGTCCTTCTTTTAGATTATTTTTATGGTTTCGTTTTATCTTTTTTACTGTCTTATTAACTCTTCCTCTTTGTTTTGTTATTTTAGTTGTTGCTTTGGGATTTATAGTATGCATCTTTAACATAGCCTACTTTTCACTGATATTGTACAGCTTCATAGTGTGAGAACGTTACATTAATATAGCAGCTTTGCTCCTGGCCTTTGGGATGCTGTTGTTATACATTTTACTTTTACATGTTGTGTACATCCCACTAAATTGTTACCATGTTTGTTGGGTTTTTTTAGGAACCTCCATACTGCTTTCCACAATGGTTAAACTATTTTACATTCCCACCAGCAGTGTAGGAGGGTTCCCATTTCTCCGCATCCTCACCAGAATTTGCTGTTCCTAGTCTTTTCTATGTTGGCCATCCTAACTGGTGTGAGGTGGTATCTCATTGTGGTTCTAATTTGCATTTCCCTGATAATTAGCGATGTGGAGCATCTTTTCATGTGCCTGTTGGCCATCTGAACTTCTTCTTTGGAGAAGTGTCTGTTCATATCCTCTGCCCATTTTTTAATAGGGTTATTTGCGTTTTGGGTGTTGAAGCATGTGAGTTCTTTATATATTTTGATGTTAACCCCTTGTTGATAAGTCATTTACAAATATATTCTCCCATACCATAAGATGCCTTTTTGTTCTGCTGATGGTGTCCTTTGATGTACAGAAGCTTTTTAGCATGATGTCATCCCGTTTGTTGATTTTTTGCTTGTGTTTTCTTTTTTTTCTTCTTTCTTTTTTTTATTAAGGTATTATTGATATACATGGTCTCACACCACCATCTTGAATCCGAATTCTCATGTTTGTTTAAATAGTAAATTATCTTTTAGAAGAAATAAAAGTACTCCATTTTTATCTATGTATTTACCTATGTAGTTACTATTTACAGTGTTCTTCATCCCTTTGTGCAAACCCGTATTTCCATCTGACATCATTTCCTTCTTCCTGAAGGAATTCCTTTGATCGTTCTCATAGTATTGGTCATGAATTCTTTCAGCTTTTGTACATCTAAAAGGTATTTTGCTTTTCTTTTCTTAAAAGATATTTTCAGTGGTTATAGAATTCTAGATGGTAAGTTTTTCCTTTTAGTGTTTAGAGATGTTGCCCCACTGCCTTCTCATTTTCATTCTTTCCAGGAAGAAGTCTGCCATAATCCTTATCTTTGTTGTTCTATATAATGTGTCTTTTCTTTTCTTCCTCCTTAAACATTTCCCTTTGTTGACAGTTTTGAGAAACTTGATTGTGATTGGTGTAGTTCCTTCATGTTTGTTGTGCTTAGAATTCTTTGAGCTTTTCAGATCATGAGTTTGGTGGTTTTATCAAATATGGAAAAATTTTCTCCATTATTTCTTCAGTTATTTTTCTGCCCCCTCTTCTCTACTCAAATGCTAAAATTGCATCTCTGTTATACTGCCTAAAGTCAACTCAGTAATGTTCTGGTCATTTTTGTTTTATTATTTTTCCTTCAGTTTTTATTTTGAATAGTTTTTATTGCTGTGTCTTCAAGTTTACTAATCTTTTACCCTGCAATATCCTATCTGTGTTAAGCTTATCCACTGTATTTTGCATCTTGCGCATTTTAATTTTTATCTCTAGAAATTTGATTTGGTCTTTTTAATATCTATCATGTCTTAACTTTTTGACCATGAAGGTTATAGTGATAACAACTGGTTTATTGTCTTTGCTTGATGATTCCAATATCCATGCAAGCTCTAGGTTGATTTCAAATGATTTATTTTTCTCCTCAGTATGAGTATTAAATTCCTGTTAATTTCATCTTGTTGGGTGCTGAGTATTTTGACTCCTAAAATATTCATGAATTTTGTTCTGGGGTGCCTTTAAATTACTGGAAACCACTTGATTCTTTTGAGTCTGGCTCTTAAGATTTATTAGGTGAGACGGTGATACCAGACTGTGTTTAATATAGGACTAAATAGTCCCACTACTGAGACAAGACCCTTTTGAATACTATTTCCAAATCCCCATAAATTATACAGTTTTAACCATGCCCAGGCGGACCAAATTACTTTTGGATATTGGCATAACATAAACCTGTTTAGAAAAGTAAATCAATAACAACATCAATCTCACATATCCCAGAGACAAGACCCTGGATTTTTACGAGTTTGAACCATCCACAGTACTGCTGTCACCCATTTTCTTATAACGTGGGACCAAATGTCCTCAAAGAGGTCATTTTACTTATGAGTTTATATCCGCCATTTTTACAAGCTCAAAAAAATGCAAAATGTCAAAGTTCTTTCTCTCTTAGGTCCTCATGTGCGATACATTCCAAAGCCTGACAACAGGCCCTGCTCCATCACCGACTCTGTCAAACGTTTCCCCAAAGAAGAAGCCACAGAGGGGAATGCCACCAGTCCACCGCAGAACCCACCTACCAACCTCACTGTGGTCACTGTGGAAGGGTGCCCCTCATTTGTCATCTTGGACTGGGATAAGCCACTAAATGACACTGTCACTGGTAAGATCACAGCATAAGGACTGTTACCACAGTGGGAAGCTTGGACAGTGTGATGCGATGCTTTAGGAGTGTGGTACCCTTGAGTCAAACTATGACTTGTGAGGCATATCTCAGGAGTAGCAATTCCCAGCAGAATTCTGCAGTCCTTATACCACATTATTGTCAAAAGTGTCATATGATGACAAAAGTCCATTTTGTCTAGTATGGGCCTCCTGTTGACATAGCAGATCTCTTTAAGATGCATTTCTTCCATCTTCCCTCAGAACTCTTTCACAGTGTGAAGATCAATCTAGCTTTTTCATTACCAAAAATCTACAGATAATATATGAGAAGTTGCCACTGCTGATGATACTTAAACCAGTTTTCCTCTCACCAACCCACTTTCTAGTTTGACCTAGAACTTTCAAGCAGGATAAATGTTATTTCTGTCATTTTAAGAGAATTTTTTTTTATTGTATCCCTGGCCAATTTTGTGTTCATCTCAGGAAATTTTGATTCTGCTATCACCTACCCAATTCCTCTAAAAGTGACTGTGAAAAATAAGAAACCCTCAGTCATTCTTTGAATCTGTTATATGGGAATTTAGTTCTCCATAGTAAACAGGATAGTTGACTAAAGAAGAAGGGGGGAAAGACAAACCACCTAAATCAGCTAGAGGATCTAGCAAATAGTGTGAGAACACAAGGCTCCTGCTGCCCGCATCCCTGCCATGTGCTCTGAGTGCAGAGACAGAGGATAGAGTGGCCCACTGAGAGGTTGTCTGGAGGATACACTGCATGGGGCAAGGTGGGGAAGGGGAGGTTCAAGAGATGCCAAAAATTTGCCTATGAACAAGAAAACAGCAGCTATCTCTCTTCAAACAAAACCATTTGGTCTGGGCACCTTCCAGTGTAAGCAGTTTATTTTTGCTTCTCTTTTTTATGCAAAGCTTGCCATTGAGAAAGAACTAGCTATTGCCCATGGTTCCCAGGAATTTGTCTAGTTCTGTTTCTTTACTTGGGACTATGCCAGTAGGTGCTAAACATCCCAATATCTAAAAATAAACCAATCTCTAAGTATTGATTATCTACATATTAAAAAGTTCAAAATTCTCAATCCACATACTGCACCAGTAAGGAGTTTCAGTGATAGTCTCAGGCTTGGTTTTCACAAAACAAAATGATCTATTAAATTCCATTTGCCTCAAAGATGTGGGATATCAAGTTGGAATTGGTTAATCTAAAACTCTAATATATCTACTACATACTTATTTGGGTACATCAATAACACCTGATTTAACTTTTTAAAGCAAAAGGATTTTCCTTTCTGGTTCATCAAGTAACATTTTTAAATTATATAAACTTGTAATCTCAAAGAATAATGAATAGGGTATATTTTATCTATCCAACTACTTATATAATATTGGTACTAAACATTAATGGGCTGCTTAAGATCTTTTATAAGATAGAGGACTTACAATAACGATTTTTATAGATAAGAACTCTATCTCTTTAGCTATAATATTTCTAAATAGAAGTAGTCCATATTTAACCAATTTTCACCTAGTCTGTATTTAAATATAGGACCATATGCCTTAATGTTCTATTTTTTCCATTTTTGTTTATTTTTAGTATTACATTAAATACCACTTGTTTTCAAATGTAATCTTTTATAAACCAGCAGCTCAGATAATTCATAAATTAAGTCTCATATCATTGGAAATGGTTTTGCAGGGAAGGATTGAGAAAGATAACAAAAAAAGTGAAGAGTATTCTTCATTCCCCAAGCTGGCTTCTGTCAGTAATCTTTCTTATAACTGACAGAGATGTGTTCATGTCTAGTACATACATCCGAATTCAGTTGCTGCTGCATGTCCCTTCTAAACCAAAGTAGAAATAGAGACACCTAAGAAACTGGCCATGAGTCCTTGGACAGCTTAAAGTTAGTTATGAAGCGTTGCTTTGTGATATGCCAAGAGGATGCTGACAGAGATTCAAACTCAGAATGGCTGACTTCTAAAAATGCAACTTGGGTATTTAGTTAGACTCATTGAACTTTAGTTTCCTTATTTGTAATATAATACCTTCCATTGTTGTCCATTTATTATGAGGATTAAACAGAGAATTTGTGTACCATAAATGAGAAGCTGTAAAGTCATGTGTGTTAGTAGTAGCAATAGTAGAACTGGCAGAGGTAGTATCATCATTATTATTTCCATGCCTTTATAGCAAACATTTTTTTCTGTCAAGTGAATTATCTCCTTTTAGGGCAATAAAACCCTCCGAGGGGGAAAAACAAGACCAATTATTCAGTGTTACTTATTTACAGATTTCCCTGTATCTTTACTATTAATTAATCTTTAAGCAAAATTCCCTATTTTAAAGTAAACATGAAGACATACGTAAGAGGCCATATCTGCCTTCTAAAATATATTTAGAATATACCCACAAATATTCATTCCAAAATACAATATTCCATTTTCATAATATTGATAGATTAATGAAAAAAATGTAATCACTTTAAAGCGTTATAAGGCATTACCAAGTCCATCCAAGAATATACATTCAAAAGCTGGAATTCTGAGAAGTTCAGGATGTTCCCCTCCCTCCCTTTTTACCCTCTGTTAGAATAGAAAGTCAACTGAGATACAGATTAGGAACAAAAAGAGTCTGAGGTAGGAATACTAAATAATACCAGCCATCAGTTCTTTTAACAGCTGCACTGATGTGTCCAGATGCGATGGCCATTGCCTTCCAGTTTGATTTTGAATTTTTGGGATGGTCATATGAACTTTTTCAGAAAGAGTCATCTTCCTTTTTGGATTTTTTAAATATATGCCATTAAAAATCCTTCCCAAATTAAAATTGGTGATTATGAGTCTCCCTGAATCATTCTGTGGTTTCAGTTTTACCTCCAGTATCCATCTCCTTTGGACTTGGCACAGTTAGCAGAAATGCCCGGTAACTTGCCAGCTCCTGGGCAGCCCTCCCGCTTTCCCTGATGCTCACCACTTGTGTTATTTCTTCATATCGGTGAACCTGATTTTGAGTGGAGTTTTGTTGCTTGATTTTTTTAAATCTACTGTATGATCTTGTCACATGCATTAAACTAAATCACAACTGAGAGCAGGGAAAACCAATTAAAAATGTATAAATTATATTCTCTTATTCTGAAAGTCTCTTTTGATTCATTCTCAAAAATTCATAGAAACATGCCTTTAAAAATGAAATTTATGAAGACCTCTATGCAGACTTTAAGGACATAGCTTTTTAAAAATACATGCAAGAATCATTATCAAGGGAACATATGTAAGCTATAGGTATAAAAATCCCATGATTCTATGGTTGAAAATGATGAACTATAGAAAAGTATAGTTGATTATTTGGTTACCTGTCATTTGCTGCTGTCGAAGCTTTGTGCAGTGGTGGTACATGAGCTGGCCTTTTCCCCTGCCGCCGTACAGCCCCACAGAGCAGGAAACACACCTTTTACTCAAGCACCGCTCCTCGCCAGTGCCTTCCTCACACTGTGCTTTCCACCAACGGCAGACTATGTGACTTACCTAAAAAAATCGTAAGTTACCCATATCCGTAGCTACCTACCTAGGAGCCTCATGGGTTTTCACAGTTAACATGCCTTTCTGGCTCTGGTAAAGGAAAAGCAGAAGTGATCAATAAGCAACTCTCATAATGTTTTGAGACCTTCACTGTCCACTGACAATCCCCATCTGAAAATTGCGTATGTGTAGGATCGGTGCATCTCAAGAACTGCAAAATCTAAGTGACTCACTCTTAATGCTCTAAGCGTCAAGAACACGGTATCAGCCAGGACATAAAGACAAGTATTGTTGGCTTTTTCACTTTACAGAATATGAAGTTATATCCAGAGAAAATGGGTCATTCAGTGGGAAGAACAAGTCCATTCATACAAATCAAACCTTCTCCACAGTAGAAAATCTAAAACCAGACACAAGGTAAGCCACCAGCAGCACTATTACAGGTGAATTCTGAGAGCGCAGATGTTGTAACAAAGGTATGAAGTGACATTATCCCTCTGTCTTAAGGAAGGGTCTGCTCTGCGTTTCATTCTTTGGCTTTCTGTAGAGGCATGTTTTGCAAATAATGCAAGCTATTGGTGGGGCGACAACGGCTGACAAGATTGTGTTGTAAGTTAACAGTGTGGCAGGCAACATTGAAAAATAAAAGGTCATTAATACCAAATGTTGATAATAAATACCAAAATTTAGAAAAGGAAAGGTCTGTGGACCAGAGAAACAACTAGATTATGCACAACAGAAACTAGATTTGATGCATAGAATAATTTGACAGGCACACTGGAAAGGAGAAGGCAAGGAAATAAAAGCTGTGTGATGCACGTAGGTGAAAGGTTGTAATAGGCAATGTTTAAAATAATGACAGACTCATCCTAGGCACAGCAACACTTTGCTCTTGGTCTTTTTACAACAGACAAATGAGAATCAGTTTTTGAGAACAAAAATGTACAGTATTAGCTTTGTTACCTAATAAACAGCTTTTCTTGGCAGCTCTTATTATACATTGATGCCAAATTGTTTAAATTGCTGTATAGTTTTGTGGTTCCTTTTTAAATCTAAATTACCCAATATTTTTTCATTTTATTATTGTGAGAAAACTAAAGGCCTTTGGCACTTCTAGAAATGTAGTAGGAAAAGGGGTTTTTTGTTTTTGTTTTATTTTGCTTCACATGGTATAATCATAAAAGGTATTACTCAAGGAGATTCTCAAATGGCTACAGCCAAGCATTTTCTTAACAAAGCCAATGTGCTAAATTCACTTCTGGACTAAATTCCTCTATAGGAAATAACTTTCCTTGCTTAAACTCCAAACAGTATGTGATAAACTCTCTATGCTTTTAATTTTTAAAAAAACTCACAGCATAAGTTATAGTTATACACTGAGCAACATAGATCAATTTTCAGAGGGACACAAGCAGAAATTTTTCCAGATTGGATATTTCATAGCTTGATGAAGTATATTTTCATAGCTTGATGAAGTTCCTCGGTGCTGAAATAGATCAGCAAAAGTGAAGGCTGGAACTCCAGCATCGGACTTTGTTTTCATAAGTTTTTCTTATATCTTTCATTGTCATTAATTGATTGAATTGAATTGGATTGGATTATAATACCCAAAAGAGCCTATTTTGGCTCTGACAGCAGAGACTCTTCCAATCTGTTCAGAGGAAAAGGAAGCATCTAATGTATTATAGATGGTTTGCTGTGTATAAACTACAAATGGTTTGCTACATATATAAAATATGCTGTAAAAATAACACTTTCCACAGGTGTATTTTTTTCTTTAGAGTTCTCTATTTTGTGCTGTAATATGGAAAATTTTGCAGCTGCTAATTTCTTAAAGGATTTCAGGTAGTCAGAATACATGTATATTCCAGTAAAAGCTCTATATGATGATCTTGGTTCTGTTCCCTTAGCAAGATTAGCAGGGAAAGAGGTTAGTTATAGTATCATATAGGAAACTGTAAAGAGAAAAGTTCATTTAATTTAGATTTTTAATGGGTAGATTTATATTTACAGAACTTGGATAGTTTTTCTCTCTATTCCACTTACTAAGAAGTGAGCTATGTAGTACACAGAAAGTACATTGAAAGGCATCTAATTTCTAAATGTTCATTTCATTCCTTTTCTGAATGACACTGTCCTCAGATATTCTCACAGTGCACTGATTAGCTCATGATCACAAATTATTCCAATGACATTTTAAACCTGATTTGTTTGTAAAAGGTTCACATTTTTCACATAGCTAACATTTATTAAGTGCCAACAACGTGCTTAGCAGTATGCACAGTATATGGCTACAGACATGAATAAACATGGTGCCTGCCCTTGAGGAGCTCAAGACTAGGGGATAAGCAGCTAATAATAATTACTCTGCACCAAGTGGTGAGAGCTCTGATAGAAGTATGCATACAATGCAATGGCAGCCAGAGTGGGCGGCACTTAGCAAAGTCTGGGGAAATTAGGAAAAACTCATTGGAGAAGGTGACATCTGGGCTGAGGCTTGAAGTGTGAGCAGGAAAGAACTAGCCAGGTGACTGTGGTGGGGAAAGGAAGGTCAGAGAACAGCATGTGCCATTGCAGAGGCCCCAAAGGACATGCTTGTGTGCAGTGAACAACAGGCCATTTTCCCCAGGGTGAAGGGTTAAAGTGGAGAGAGGCTGTGGAAGCAGAGGGAGTGGGAACCAAGCTGACGCGGGCCTCCTATGGCAGATCAGGACATGTGGTCAGCAGATGGGGAGACTTTGAGTGACGGTAACTGGGGAGTGACTTGCTCTGACTTTCATTTTAGTTTTCATTCTGACTTTCATTTAGTTGGAGTAATCACTTTTGATACTAGAGCTATGTATGATGAATAACAGTTGGTGGACTAAACTTAACAAAAAAAAACTAAATTTAACAAAGACATTGTTAATGTCTGGCAAGAGCACCATCTTGGCATCTGACATAATTGGCCAAGTAGGTGCATAAGAGAAAGGTACCTTTGGGCTGAGCTGCATTTCATTCCGGAATCACAGGACCAGTCAGCTCCTGGGGTTCGCCTCTAGATTTGGGTTGGGATTGTTGTAGGACTCATGCTAACTGTTCTGGAGTTTGCCTCCCCCCTATCCCACCCTCATGGTGTGTGCCTTGCCCATCTCTCCAGCCCTTCCTCAGGGAGTCTTCTAAGGAGGGCCCCTATAGCCTATCCTTACCTCAAAGAGGGTCCTTTCTGAATTTGTCTTTGGGAAAAAGCATTATTAAATTAAGTTTAGGAATTCCTGAAATCAGAACTCCATGTTTAGTTTCACCTCTTGGCATAAATTTGGGGCCATTGAGCGTGTTTATATGTGTATTTTTGGTTTGGCACGAATTGAATGGTATGAATAGAACCCATTTGTATATAAAGACTTAATGTTCATATATATGATTTGATGAGGATTATATTGCTCGTCCCTAACAGGTCATGATTTAAAAGTTATATCACTAGTGTGAAGGGAAGACCATTCTCCCCTAGGGGGCAAATACAATACACATAGATGTAAAGGTGCTTTAGTAAAATTATTTTAGTCTACAGTATGTGAGACTTCAAGGTGGTCAAGTAGTTCAGTACCTTCTAGTCCCCAGTGAGCCTGTGAATGCATCCTGTGCTCTCTTAACAGGTGTGCTAGAAATTAATTTGTCCAGTTAATGGGCAAACATGCTCTGAGCTGAAATATGTTGAAATCCCTATTAGTCAAAATAATTTAATGAACTAAGGAAGAATAATGCAAAGTTGAAATATTTCATTTAATTTGATATTCTGAAGTCTCAAAATACCTGGAGAGAGAATACCCATGAAACTAGAAAGCATCATAAGAGAGCATGCAAGAACATACCAATGTAGGACCTACACCCCCAAGTCTACAATTAAGAAATGGAGAGAAAGCTTCATAGAATATATGAGACTAGAACTTGACCATAAAGGGTAGGACAGAAAGGGGCAGGCTTGTTAGAAAAGAAAGAGTAAAAATAGTATTGTTCTTTCAAATCAAATCCATGTGTATGACTTAAGTGAAATATAAGTAGTCCTCAAAATTACTACTGACAACAAGGCTACAGCCAGAATAATAAAATTACGAGTTCCAAATTTGGGTTTTGGGCTCATTCAAAGCAAGTTTTTTTTCCTACTACCTTATGTTGTTAAGGCAAGATTTCTTTCCACTGTATCTTTTCTACCCTAACTATGATCCAAGATTAATGCTAATAGAAGACAAACTATAAAATAAAGAGGAAGTATGCACATGAGGCAGCCGCCAAGGGGTTTTTATTACCTGCAAAGAAAAACTGTAGATACATTTCAATGCTTGGGGAACATTTTGAATCAAAATACATGGTAAAATTGAATTCCCCAAATAGGCCAACTTTGAATTACAGCTATTAAAATTCCCCCATAAGGTTCTGGAATTCCTACTTGAAAAGCTGGAAGATAATAACTTCTGAAAGAATTGCTATAGCTATATGCCAATTCTAGGAGACACGTGTAAGTAATTTATTTTAGTAGCATTTCCATCATTTGTCCTGACTAAATATCATGAGATGTAAGAACAGGTGATAATTACTGGCTAATTGTAACACACTAACATGGGTGGAATAGAGCTTGGTGTTAGACCTCTTAACTGGGAGAAACAAGGCAGAGGAAATAGATCTGCAGAGCTTTTTTGGTTAAAAATTCTCAATGTTCACACACTATTCTAGAACCAGAAGGACAGTGGAGTATGCTACATTTCCCCTCTCACAGTATATGCCAACCTTCTCCCAGCCAGTTTTATGACTCAGCCAGGTTTTCACCTACTCTGCAGAAGCTTGAAAAAGAACCTATGTAAGCGAGCATCCTGTCCCTGGACTGCTGCTGGGGGAGTTCAGCTTCACACGTGGCATGAGATGTTTCTGTCTCAGAGAAGAGCCACACGCTGCTCTGGAGCACCTGGGTACAGCTCCTGGGACAGCACAACAGGGACCCTCAGTCCCAGCCTTGCCAGCAGATGCTGGAGGCTGTGGGCTGTGGGCTGTGGTCCCGTGTCTGCACAGGAAAGACAGGCTGTTTGTGGAGAGCCGTAACCATTTCAGTCAAGTGAAGCAGAAGGGATCTGCTAACAGAGGCAAACTGCCATGGCCAACTCTTTCTACAGAGGATCCCTCTCTCACCCCTACCCATAAAATACAGCGAAACTGTAGAGATGTCCACATGCAGCTAAATCAGTATCCATCTAGCCCACTCCCCAATATTTATTTTCCACTTATTTTTCTCACTGAAACGTCAACGTGCAGCTCTTGTTAAACTAGGAACAAACTATTAAGAAGAGTCTCTCTTAATCTGGAGCAGGTATATAAACCACTTTATTTGCAAAGATAACTATGATGATTTTTAGTTCTATGAACAGAAGTGATGGAGTATATAACTT